TTGCTATGACGCAAAAGTCCTCTTTTCACCATTGTTGGGTACAGGTAACACCCTTCCTCCCATCCCTACCCCCCCCCCCCCCCCCCCCCAAAGTGTTTGAAAACCATCACTGAACAGCTCACATGTGCAAGAAATGTAAGAAGTAATCTGACTGTGCTGGAACAAAAAAACTTGCAAGCCAATCTCAAAGTTTGTATTATGGGGCCAATGGATCAGCCCAGCCATCTTTTTTGGGGGGGGGGGGGGGGGGGGGGGGCATTTTGCTGTTTGGCAGATAGATCCGCTGAGTCGAATCCAAAGGGTTAAAACTAAATTATAGGCTATCCTCCGAATAGCGGTACCAAATTATCAAGGCCAAAAAAAATACTGTAACAGGGCCTCAGTCATATGTAAATTGCGGACCTCTTTCCTGCGACTATACCGCCACCACCGAGAATTTCCCAGCTCGCGTAGAGGGGGGCTAAACTAGATGGCTGGAACTCACGAGCAATTAAAATGGAGGAAGCTGCTGGAGATGCGGTAGTTGCTGTTCATGAGTCCCAGCAATCTAGTTTAGCACCCCTTGGCACCGCGCATAACGGCGTGGGGAAAACTCACAGTGGTGACTTTAATTCGGCAGAAGCTTTTCAGCGGTATGCGGTGTAGTCACCAGAAAGAGGTCCACAATACACAAATGACTGAGGACCTGTTAGGGTATTTTTTTGGCCTCGATAATTTGGGTTAATTGATGGACAGCCAAATTACATATTTTGAATGTGATGTTATTTCCATTTCAACATATGACAGCTGAAGAACCACTAAAGACATATAAAAAAAGAAATGCCCAAGGAATATTAAATGAATGGATTCAAGAAAGGTGATGGAATAAGAAAAAAAAAAATGGATTATCACTGGTATCAACAGTTATAAATAATAGAAGCTGGCCCTTGTTCTGCAGATAATGAGGATAAGCAGGCAGAGAATCATTAAACAGGCACTGAAATATGAAATATATGGACTGAGGAAACAAGGAATCCCAGGAGAGACCCTAAGAAGACCGTTGGTGATAGAGGACAAGGTGCTGGATTAGATTCCATCTATGATGTCGAAATGATTGTGAAAGATAGAACAAAATGGAAGTACAGACTGTGATCCCCATGTGAAATAATTACTATTAGGGCACAACAAAACTGATGAGATAAGATGAGTGACCAAATAAGAGTTCTTAGCTATCTTCCGAATAACGGTCCCAAATTATCAATGCTGAGAATATAAACCCTAACAGGGCCTCAGTCACGAGTCAATTGGACTTCCGCCACTGGCAAGAGTATCTCCCATGCCACTACGCACGGCATGGATTTTGGCTAAACTAGACGGCTGGGACTCACGTGCAAATAAAATGAAGAAAGCTGCAGGAGATTCGGTAGCTGCTGCTCGTGAGTCCCAGCCATCTAGTTTAGCCCCAATCCACGCCGTGCGTAGCGGCGTTGGAGATACTCTCGGCAGTGGCGCTAGTTGCCAAAAGTGCGCGATTTAAGTCGCCAGAAGTTCGCAATCAAGTGACGGAGACACTGTTACTGTTAGAGTATATTTTCGGCCTCGATAATTTGGGACCGTTATTCGGAAGATAACCTGAGTTCTCTTTAAACTTTCAGACTTTATCTTAGCTGAAACAAAGTCGTTGTGTTTAAGCGCTGACATGTTGCGTGCGTAACTGTATGTATGCGTGGGTGTATATATGTTAAATACATAAACATCACAATAATGATTTAATACCAATTTCATCGACTTTATTCAGAAAATCATTCAACTCCTGTTCTGATGGTTGATCTGGTAACTTTGGGAGCGTCGCCATGTTGATTACGTTGGTTACACTCGGGAGTAATTCGTAAATTTATTTTCTGCTAACTTTATATAAAAATATAAACCAAATGTTAAACACTGGTATTGAAAGTGAATTATTGTAGACAACAGAATTGAATGCGCTTAAATATTGTAAGATCTTTAGTCAAAACAAACTGTTTAAGCGATATATTTCTAGCGGGAGCACCCGGAAACGGTTGCTGGCGGCTGCGCAGTGGAGACATTCCTGCAGTAGCGAAATGTTTGTTGTAGCCAGGACACAAAACTTTGGTCTGTAGGTATGTCTTCTTAGCTCTAGAACATATCGGAGCCTGCTTCATACTATATACGTGCTATATATTTTTTTTATTAACATAACTTAATATACGCATTTAGCCAGGGATAAATTTTTTTCTAAGCCTACGCATTTATAAATTTTATTAAAACAATTTTTGTAAGTCGAGTTAGTTAAAAAACAGCCAGCTTACCTTGGGAATAGATTGGCTGGCTGGTCACAGCTTAGTGGGATATTGATGAATGATAAGGCAGGCGTTGTTAAGACCTTGTGGGAGAACGTGTACATAGGCCCCACCCTGTACAAAATTGGAGGAGTAAATGGATCACTAGTCTGATGAGAGTGATACAGCGGGGAGGGACGAGGGGTTCTGGCCAAAGGGATGGACATATAATCAGAATGCTAGTGGTACCATTAGTATTAGAACTGTTCTGGCTACTGAAGATGGGAACGGAGCACTCATGAAAATGCCCCGGGTCCTGTGATGTTGCTTCAACTCAACAAATCAACTCAACGCTCAACTTTCCTGTCATACTTTTAACTTGTACCACATGTCACACTGTCATGTGTTGGTAAAGGCTGCCTAGCCACAGTGTTCACTTGTTGTTTGTGATTGTGATAATGTGAAGCTGACTGTTTTACTTGTCATTTGGTTTGATATCTTTTCATGATACAATTTAACGGGTCTCTATTGTGAAGTGGTCAAGCCATTTTCCTCACGCTCTAAAGATTGTGGGTTCATTTCATGACATCAAACTGAGGTTGTCTGGCCTTGGCCTTCTTTCTAGAAGTTTTGAAATGCGTTTTTCATCATGTGACCCAACCTTGTCTATCTAGTAAATATCTTTTTGTCGTGCCCTATCAAAGCAAACACAATTGTCCTTGTTTTTTTAGAAGCTTCTATGACCTCAATTTTTAGTTTAACTACTATATCTGCGTAGAATAGGATGATGAAATCCGATGCACTTTAGATATTTTTAGAAAATCCTATGTGAGAACATACCTAATAAACAAGTTGAGACGTACTAAAATATTCTAGAAGCAAAAAGAGCGAGAAGAAAACAAATACCTAGCATTCCAGCATCCAAGTATAAATAGCGAGTAACAAAGCACTTGTGCAATTCTTCAGTCCACAAGACTCAAGAGAGGAGAGACCAGTCATGGACTCTCAAGACAGCCTTCAGTGGCAGAGATGTAAGCCCAACACTAGAAGCCTTCAGTCGTTGAGACTCAGAGGACGAGCGTCTAGTCTCAATGATCCGCGATGCCAGCTCAACACTGGAAGCAGAGGAACCAGTCACATATTGAACCTCGAAGAAAGTCACTGGAGAGGAGACATGAAATGAGACATCGAGCTACAGAGACGACACACAAGATACATGGATCCATGGAGAACAGAGACACATTAGGAACACTATAGAGTCGATGATCAAGTCGTTAGTACCAAACAGCACTAGAAGCCAGGTGGCAGTTACAGGCACTAGAACCTAAGTAACCAGAGATGAAGAACACAACGCGAACCTACGAGTATTTAGCCATAGAGAGAACACAGCGCTATTCAGAATATCATTGATATTGTTGGTGACATTGTTAAAGTATCACAATAAAGACAGCATAGACAAGAACTGTTGTTTCCAGGCATTTTATTATACAAGCACCAGAGTCACGTGAGAAGCATGCAGCTAGCAAGACATCATCATCATCATAACCACTATCGACACGACCATCTTTCTCCTCGTCTATAATCTTCCAATCGACTCCTCCTGTAGCAAACCTCAAGACGAACCTGGGTGTGGCATTAACATACGCAACGAAGAAGAGAGCTGTGCTACAAAAAGCGCAAGACAAATACAGAAAACCAAGACACTGGGCTACAACCTGGTATCAGTGAGATGACAAAAGAAGAAGAAAAAGAAGCCAGACTGGTCTCACTGGAGAAGCAGAAAGAATAACTCTGCTATAACAACTCCCTGCAAGTTGACACTTGAGCCGTCTAGTGCAGACAAGCAAGCCATTGCCAAATCGTCATCGTGGACCAAGAGCATCGTCTGAAAAATACATCATTTGATCTTGTTCTTGGAATATAATTACTAATCCAGCTGAGCAGTAAAACAGGAGACTGACTCGAAATTGTTAATTCGCCAGCATTGTCTCGACAGCAACACATTGGTAAGTCAGCTGACGACAAGCTTACAAACATTATAGCCAAGAAAGCGATTGATCAAAACACTTGTCAACGCTACAACTCAATTTTTCACCCAGTAGGAATGAATCTAAAAGCTAAACTAACTTCAGACTTGGCAGAAGGTTAAATCATGTGACAGAGGCTTGGCTCAAGTTTATACACCCGGTTTATTTATATCATTGGTCTTCACTAGACCTACTGTGACTCTCACTTCACTCACTATTTCATTAGTTCCTGAGGGAAAACCCAATGACTTAGTTTCGTCATCAGTTCTCATTATGCCTAGTGGCACATGAGCCTTCAGAGAGGACTTTCCATGCTTTCCTGTCCTGTGCAATCGTCAGTGCAGTTTTCCATGTCAAAGATGCCGCACTCAGGTCACTTTCCATCGTTCGTCTCCATGTTGTTTTTGGGCGCCCCTGTTTTCTCTTTCCCTCTGGTGTCCAGGTAAAATCAATGGTCTTCACTGGACCTCCTATGACTCTCACTTCACTTAATATTTCATTAGTTCCTGAGGGAAAACCCAGTGACTTAGTTTACTTATCCATAACTCCACACATAGGATTTAGACATATCTACACATTATCAACACAGTATATCTACTCAGTAAAATACAGAAATCAACACTCTGTATCATTGCTCTGGAAATTTATATTTTGATTTAATATATTACAGCCAACAGTAGGATCTGACATAATCATGTCTGAAGACAAGAAACGAGGAGGTGGTGATGATGGGGAAGATGGAGGCCCAGGTTTACTCTACATGCCATTTGTTATCATGGAAGAACTCTTGGACAAACTACGTCTGCTAGACTATGACAGGGATTTTGCACGCAAGATGAATCTGAAGCCTATTAATAGGTCAGCTCACAGTCCCTTTTTGTGCATTTTTGCTAAATAAATTTTGTATTTATGTTATTTATTTATCTCTTTGTGTACTGTATAATTACATTTACGCAGCTAGAAAAGACATAAAACTACATCTTACTCCTCTCTGTGATACTTTACTGCATAAGCGGTAGGACAGAAGAAGAGGTATAATTTTCATATCTCTTTCCCTCTTCTTCCACATCTGTCTTACTATCTATCTCAGACTCCCACCAGAGGAAAAAAAATGGTGAAAGCGGGGGGGGGGGGGGGGGGGGGGGGGCGCTACTGAGCTGAGATCCATGGCATGAGACAGAAGAAAAGGATGAAAACAGAAAAAATGCGAAAGAAAAAAGATATGCTGGTATAATGAGAAGGCGATGGGAAAATGGAGGTCTGTCTAAACAATAGATATCTATTGCTTGATGAGGACGAGCAAGCAGAAATCGGTTGTGCGGCAAAGCAAGATGAAGTGCGAGTCAGCTCCTGCTTGGGTGCCGTCAGCATAAAGACACTGAAATTGCTGTTGCTTCAGATGATGGAACATGAATATGTCAGACTGATGTGCTGGGATGTCGGTGTGGATGATAAATATCTTACTATATGCATCTGTCTCATTAATTATTGTTCACTTGCATGAAACTCATTTATAAGCACATTCTCTATTTCTGTACATGTAGTTGATTAATTCTGGTCTCCTGTTCCTACCAGATTGCATTCAGTATTACCCCTTTTAAATAATCTCTGTTTCTCTCTGTGTCTGTCTCTCACTTTCTCTCACTCTCTCTCTCTCTGTCTCTTTCTATAACCCAGCAACCCCCCTCCCTCTCTCTTTCTCTGTTCCTGTCTGAACGCTTCATTATCTCTGTCTTTTTTTTGTCTCTCTCTGTGTCTCTTTATGTCTCTATCACTCTCTCTGTTGGTTTGTGTCTGTCTCATTCTCTCTGTCCTACTCACTCCCTCACTCACGGTCACACACATACAGTCTGTATTCATCACTACTGCAGCATATGTAACTTCACAAAATAAATGTGGTAATCAGTTCCTTCCTCACTTCAAGGCATTACTTCGCTGTCCAGACCAACCCGGGAGAACAGTTTTACATGTTCACATCCCTGGCTGCATGGCTTCTCCGCAAATCTGGCAGACATTTTGAACAACCACAAGAGGTTTGACTTTTTTATTTATTCTCTTGACTGGGTATGGGCTCCGAGCCTCCTTTGGGGAAAGGGGGAATAGATCCACCACTGCATAACAGGCATGTTGTAAAATGCAACTAACTGAGGACTTGCTAAAATTGGATGTGTTGGTTCAAAAGCAGAAATATTGCAGCCTAGCTGTAAACTACATCACAGTGTGCCAACAACCCTTTTAAAGGCAAACAGAGAAGAAGAATCTGTTCACTTGACTGAGTGGTTTCAAGGAATCTTTCCTCGTCTATTATTGATATAAATCTCATTTAGATCAATGGGGGGGGGGGGGGGGTGGGGGGGATCCTTTGTTAAATGCTTGAATTGCAAACACGAGCGAAAATATCAGTGTGTACTGTTTTAATAATTATATGTGTACATAGCCAACTTATCATGTGCTTCTACTTCCATTAACGACAAACTGTATTTCTGGTGGTGACTGTTGGCTTTGGCACCTCTAGAAACTACCATGTGCATTTACTGCGTGCGCATGTTTCTGGATTGTGCTGGCTTGTTTGTTCACCGGTTTTTCAAACAGGACAGTGAGGGACATTTCATTTGATTTTAACTGGCACAGGAGGGGAGCAGGTATGGGGAAACTTGATTGAAGTGAAGTTGAAACCTCGACTGCGTATCTGCGTAAATTCAGTGTACCATATGTAAATATTAAGATATTATCAACACTGTAGAACTAGGCTGGTTGATCTCGATACAGTTTTGGGACATGGCCAAAGAAATTTAGCCATTTTTGGGGTCAAAATGGGCACATTTTAACCAGCTTCTCATGGGAATAATCAGCAGGGGTATTATAGGATGTCTGCTGCATTGGAGGACTGAGAAACCACAGGAATACCCAGTCTGCAGGGATGTGGATTGTGATAACATTAACATTTCATACTCTATTGGTAATATCTGGAAGGGGGGAAGGAAAGGGAGTAGATAATTACCCTAATTTTAACCTTTATATCTGCTGACTTACCTGTCATGCTGTAATCTCAGTGTAAAAACAAAAGGTTTAGGGAATCTGGCCTATGCCCAGCACTTAAAGGAAAGGCGAGACAGATATGCAACCAAACCTTTACTGGTACCATCAGAATTGGAACTGAACTTGCTGCTGAAGATGGGGTCAAAGCACTCGTGGGAATGTTCTGAGTGTTATGATGTTGATTCTTAATTCAGCATTTAACAATCTCAGTTTAAAACAAACATGTTTTGTTTTAGTTTGCTGTCGACTTTCATTTGAATGGTGAAGTATTTGGAAGACACATTTTGGGTCATCAACATTTTATATTAACTTCATTCTTCAGTATGATGACCCAAATGCCACAATTTCCAGTATACTGGAGGAAGTGAGAAAATATGTGAGTTCTCTTATTTTACATTTTAACAATAATTTATTTTACATTGTAACATTAATTTATGTTACAGCATAAGGTTGATTTATTTAATATTGTAATGTTAGTTTATTTTACATTGTAAAATTCAATTCATTTACATTGTAACACTAAATTTTTTTTTTTACATTGTAACATTAATTTATTTACAGACTTCTCTTTTCAAAATGGCGAATAACAGCGGTATTATTTTTGTATGGTTATGGCTTCTCTCATTTTGTTCTGTTGCCCTGTCCTGGACTATTTTGTGCAACCCAGCATACTGTGTGTTCTTCATTGGAGCAGCATGTATTGTGCTTGCACTATATCGGGGTAGGATAATGACCGATGATCACAGCAGCCAAATGTCTGGGAAGACAGAATTCATCAGCAGGGGACTGCAACTGTCTGGAGTGCAAACTTCAATAAAAACTTTTCCCAGAAACAAAATGTATCTACCAATTTTGAGTGTGTGTGTGTGTGGTAAGGAATCGACGCATACGGCTAACTCAGTGACCATTTTTTTCATTGTAACATTTATTTATTTTATGTTGGAGCATTCATTTTACTGTCATCATGAGAGCTAATAGACTTAAATGGTTGTGGCATATTGAGAGAATATCTGATAAAAGAGAAGTGAAAACTGTATACACAAGGGAGATGAATGGTCGTAGACCACGAGGCAGTACCAAGAAGACGATGGAGAGATAATGTCCAGACAGACCTGCAAATACTTTGTGTCACCAACTAAAAAGAGAAGGCCAACCAGAGAGATGAATGGAGGCGGGTGATATCTGCAGCATTGAAGCTTAAGAGCTCGGAATGCTGAAGAAGAAGAAGAACATTTATTTTTTTTGGCCAAAAAAACACACCAAAAAATAATATTTATTAGCTTCTTCTTTTTTGCCTTCACCAGCTGCAAACTCCAGCGTAAAATTCTGAGAGATGTGGTTAATGAAAAACTAAGTGGAAACAATAGACAAATGGTATTATAGATAAATGATAAGACTCCAGACAAATTAAAAAAGAAACAATAATGAAGATGTCTTGAAAGAAATTAACTCATGAAAAGAATTAATGACCTGCATGAGAAGACAACCTACACTCTTTGGTTGCGTCATGAGAGAACATTTGTTTCATGACAAATTCTGAACTGGTGATGTGATTATCCATACAGATGGCGCTTTGTTGAGAGGCAGGACACGTGTGTGGAGGTTCACTGCAAAAGCCACTGGAGGATGCTTAGTTCAGCAAAGTCAAGCATATGTACTACTACATCAAATTTGAGAATGGAGGTGGAGGCATTCACAGCAACTTTCCGCTCTCTTGAGAACTTGCTGCAGATGCATGTGGATTGTACCAACTCACAAAGTGTGTGTTGAGAAATGTGGAAAAAGGCATGCTCCGTACAGAGTGGCGAGCATTGGTTCAGAGGTCATGGGTAGTTAGCGCTAGGATATTTTTCTCCAGGAGATGCAGGAGTGATGGAAAATGAACAGGCAGACAGATTGGCGGGTTTTGCACTAATGGGTGCTGAATTTCTGCATGACAAGCTAAATGTGGTCAGGTCCTTGAGAGCAAATGAAGAATGTGGAGGCATGAATAGATCCCTATAATCTGTAGAGAGGGTAAAGGGTAAGAAAAGAATAGTGCCTAAATGTAAAATAAAAGTCAAATGCATCATTTTAGGACAATTGCAGAAATTTAAGTATCTAGGCACATGAATAACATACAATGGGAGATGTATCACAGAGATAACAGAATAGGAGGGGCCAAAACTACTTTTTATAAATTGAAGAACATTTTGTACAATAACTCCATACCATTGGAGGTTACCAACAGAATTCTCATGTGCTGTATAGAGCTAAGTTGAACGTACGGCTGTGAATCCCGAGCAATGAATAAACAAGCTGAACAATATCTTCAGGCCTCGATGTGGCTTTACAGAAGAATCCTTAGGACTCCTTGAACAACTAAGAAGAGCAACCCAGATGTTTTGAAAGAGACATGTGCTAGAGGACAGCTTATCACAAACATCAGAAAGAGACAGTCATCATTTTTGGGTCATGTTATGAGATGATGCAAACTACAACATGTTGTGACCGCTGGAAGGATTTGTGGAAAGAGAGACAGAAGAAGACAGTGCGAGAAGATTCTTGACAGTTTTTTGTCATGAATTGGTGTCAGCACACAAACTGATACACACAGTTGTGGAAAGGCATGATCACCCAGTCGGCAAGGTACTTGATGATGATCTGGCAATTTTAGTTTCAGCTTTATAGCGAACGGGTCACCCCACAGTTGCTCCGCTCCTGTGCCAACGAAACAGACACAGAATGTTTATCACAGTCACAGCATATGTAGCATACACGCGCATTAAAAGCATACGGTAGCCATCCGAAGTGCTAAAACAAACAGTCCGGTATTAGAAATGCAGTTCATCATGGATGGTGGCAAAAGTCCCCAACAGATTAGCAGTTGCACACGTTATCAATTTTAATCACATTGGGACAAAGCTGACAGAATCAGTAGAAAAGCAAGATTATTATGGCCTGGAGAGAATGAGGCACCTGGGTGTAACCAGAGGGTCTAGCCAGCTCACTACACTCAGAGGTAAAGTAAGATGGACATATAGCCAGATTGTGACCGGTGCAATCAGTATTGGAACTCTGCGCTGGCTGCTGAAGATGAGGACGGAGCACACATGGGAATGCCCTGAGTGCTGTGTTGTCAGTTCTTGACTCAACTCAACATGGTCTACTCCCATTCAACTCTTGTGTACACAATTTTGTGTCTCTGTGTCTCTTTTAGCCTTTATCATCATCATGTAGCAGGTCCTTTGCAGAATGTTGCTCTCATCACAGTCTGTCTGAAACAAACTCGGTCTCTCGTCAGCTCTCTCATCTCATGTACTTTCATATTCAAAGAGTCACTTATATCCTTGCCCATCTTTGTGTTGGTCGGCCCCTGCACCTTCTTCCTGTTACCATACCTTCTGCTATTATTTTATTCCAATCCACCATGGTGCTTGATATGAACAAAATATTTTAACTTATGTGATATGATGCTGTTCATCCAATCTACCTTGATGTTCAGGTATTTTAAAATGTCCTTATAATACCAGTAATTAGATATAATTTAAACAAATTCTGAATTTATTTGTTGCTTCCCACTCTCCATTCTCCTCTGCTTGGGTTCAAAGATTCTGTAAGCTTGTCTCTTTTAGTTGTCTTCCAGCTCTCAAAGTGATTTAGGATCTAATCATTGTTTTATAAAGTGTAATCTTAGTGTTATGAGAAAGAGCCTTTGAATTCAGCAGATGTTGCTGGACGTAGTATGCCATATTTTCAGATTTTATTCTAGAGTGTATTTCTTTGTTTAGTCTGTTGGAGCAGTTGTAGTTTGTATACAGGCATTTGGTTGTCATTGTATTGGACAAACATTGAGAAAATCTGAGAACAAAATAACAAGGAGGGCTTTAAACTGGAACCCACAAGGGCATTTAGATAAAGATTGACCAGAAAAACACATGGAGAAGGAAACTAGAGAGTTAAATAGATTGGGAAGACATGAGTTCAGGAGCTTGCAGTAGCAAAGGATAGGAAGACTTGGTTGAGAGCCTGTGCTCCATTGGGGCTACCAGCTTCACGTGACATGTAGTATAAGAAGAATCATTGATAGATCTGACTGACTGATAGATGCACTACGTCTTTATTTATGTGTTGTATCCTTTTGTGTACATTTTCTCTTCTCTAGGGTCACCCAGTCGATTTCCCTCCGTCAAAGTTGAAACAAGGTTGGGGTGAGCACTGTATTTATGTTCTTGACAGACTGGCAGATGAGGCGTTTAAGAGCACAAACTTCTCCTGGCGCAGGTGGGGTGCGATTTTGTGACCATTGTTGTTGCTGTATTCTATGTTTAAAAACAGGGTGTTTAACTCATTCAGTACCAGGTGGCTCGCCATGTGTTTACTTGTTACTCCATAGTTGATTGCTTTTCCATAAATGCACACACATAGAAAGTTTCATTAAAACAGACTGAACTATAATGAAAACAGCAGTTTGAATACTTAACGATTTTTTATCATGTATGTTAATCCTTACCCCTAATTTTGTGGGGGTAAAATTATTGTTCCACATAACGTTGATGTTTAAGCCCAAGAAATTAATTTTTCTTAAATCTTCACCAGTATTTACCTATAAAAAAAGCATTGTTTCCAGTGGGTATAATCAAATTCATTTTGGTGGTTTAACTTGTTCTTAATGTCTTTTTATTAATTCAGCTGTTGAATTAACCCAGTCTTTCAGATAGTTCACTGCAGACTTAGTTCTTTAGTATAATTGCTTCATTTGTAGTGAGATAAAGAGTCTTAAAGTACTGTATAGAGCCCTTTATTTTTTTTTAATTTGAAAATATTTTTTTAATAATCATTTTGCAGTCTATGCGAATCTCAAGGATGATAATCAAAAAGGTTGCAGAAACCCCTTTCAACCTTATAGCCATACTTTGCCTTCTTCTTTTGTCGTCTCACTGATACCAAGTTGTAGCCCAGTGTCGTGGTTTTCTGTGTTTTTCTTGCGCTTCTCGAGTGGCTTGGGCAATGGATTTGTTCATCTTGTTGCAGGTTTCGGCTATACAATTTTTCCATATCTTTTTTGGTCTTCCTCTCACCTTCCTTCCAGATGTTCTGCTGTAGAAAGTCTTATATGCGATGCATGTATATAGCCATACAAGCACAGTTATATCGTGGCACCTCAACAATGTTACTGTGGAGATCAGTATTCAGCATTTCTTCATTTAATTTTTATTGAAGTTGTTTTATTTCTTCCTAATCTGCCTCGCCCCATCCACGGATACCCTCCTTTTTCTTTTGTTTCATAAATATAGCCCCTAACGTACATATTTTCTTCTATTATATATATTCCTGTTAACTTGTGAAAATATGCATTAGATAACTAGGCAATTTTTTCTAAAACAGTATAGTTCTATGCTAAGCTTGGCTGTTGACAAGCTTCGTTATCTGGCTTTTTGAGTTTTCTCATGACAGGTTATGTAGTAGTTAGTACGAGGAGAAGTCAAAAAGTAAGTCACAAATGATTATCGGAGACAGGAAAGTTTGCAAGCTTCGTTGATTTCTAATTGAGTGTCTAATAAAGTGTTATTTTGTTTAGGTGGTGCTAAATAAGTTGTCACAAATGGTTATTCGGAACACAGAAAAAAAATGGTGACTGTATTTTTACAGAGTGTAGCCTCAAAAAACAACGTTGCACTTTATGTCTTTTTTTGTTAAAAAGGGCTGCGTTGCATGAACAGACAAAATGGTTACTGTGCCTTAGGAACTTGTGCTTCCTTTTTCTGTTCCCTATAACTGACAAGTCACATTATTTAGCATTTAAAGCTTGGTATCACTGAAAACCCACATTGGCGGGAGACATTTTGTGAATGGCGCAGAAATTGTGTGTGAAGTGAAAATGTGGTTTAGAAATCAGAGCAGTCTCGCAGGTTCCTGGGAGGGTGTGATAAAACGGTGGGACATCGTGCACCGTTCTCCTCAGCAATGTTGGTGGAAATTATGTTGAAAGTGCCCTTAAAGGGACTAGCTTGTCCTTATGTAATAAAAAATCAAGGTTTTTATTTAGGGGGGTCTCAGTGGTTGAAATGTCATCTTAATTATAATTTTTTTTAAACAATCATTTGTGACAGTTTACTTATGGAAATCCCCTCTCTTCCTATAGTTCGAGCTAAATACTGTCATTTGTGCAACATCTCGGCAGGCAGCTGCTCTCACTTGTGTGCATCAGTTTGTTCTTTTTATTTAAAGTCATTTTTTCTGGGTAATTCTTCTGTTTAGGCCACAATATCCAGAAGAAGAAATGGAGGAGGAGAATATTGTTGAAGATGACTCAGAACTGACACTCAATGAAATAGAGAAGACAGCAGCAATAGGGGTAAGTGTGAATTCTGTAGTAGGGCTGGTATATTTTGTACCGCATTTTGTTTACCGCATTAGTGTTTTTTTTACTTGTGGAAGTGGTGTTTTGACTTGTGGGAGTGGTGTTTTTGCTGTGTAAGTGGCATTTTTACTTGTGGGAGTGGTGTTTTTACTTGTGGTAGTGGTGTTTTTGCTGTGTAAGTGGCATTTTTACTTGTGGGAGTGGTGTTTTTACTTGCAGAAGTGGTGTTTTTAAGCTGTGGAAGTGGTGTTTTTAAGCTGTGGAAGTAGTGTTTTTAACCTGTGGAAGGGCTGTTTTTAACCTGTGGAAGTGGTGTTTTACTTGTGGAACCTAAAAAGTAAAGTGGCGCATTGGGACAAATGAGGCTAGATTCATATTTTGACAGACAAGTCGGCACTCGATTGATGATGAGGTCAACATCACTCTGGCCGCCTTTACTCTCCAGGACTTTACCTGGTACCCATTTAAGGCTGGGTCTGCCTGGAAGCCAAGGTCATGTTTGAAAGAAATCCTAAATATTGCTCCATGCGGATTTGAATCGTCGACCTTTGGGATGGCAGGCGAGCGTCTAGCCACTACACAGCGGCGGCTCCCACTTTTTATTTCGTGAAGTGGTTTTTTTTTTTTCCTGAGTTCATAATTGTTTAGTATTATTAAAGCAGATCGGATGGTTTGGGTCCTGGTGGGGCCCGGGCTTTAAAATTTTCTTTTATTCAATGACCTTGGCTTTCATGTTGACCCCACCTTGAATGAGAACAAGGTGCAGACCTGGGAAGTAAAGGCTGCCAAGCATAATGCTGACCACATCACCCACCAAATGCTGATTTGTCTATAAAATTTAGGTTTAGCCCTATATGCCCAGTACGTCAGAAAGCGTGGAAAGGGGCCGTTTACTTGAAGAGTTGCTATACAGAGTTGTAAAAGCAAAGATCCTTTTTTGTGCCTTTAGGCGTGTCGGGCAAATGGGAAAAGCACCCATATTTTTACAGACCAATTGGCACTGGGTGGGTAATGTGAGCATTACGCCGGCCGTCTTTACCATTCCAAGACATACATCCTGGTACCCATTTTAGGCTGGGTCAACCTGCGAAGCCTCGTACCATGATAAAAGGCAACCAGCATACACAAAGTTGTGCTAATATTTATTGCAGAATTGTAATCCTTGATGAGGTACTGCTACATGATGATGAGGTACTGGTGCGTTGTTCCTATTTCAGACTTCAGATTTTGAAGATGCTGATGAAGATGAACCAATACTTGATCTAGAAGGACTGAAGAAGTTTAACCAGAATAAGGTATTATGAATTTATTTCACATGTACAGTTTTGTTATCCCTGTTGTGGGTTCTAGGGCCCCATTGTGGGGGGACGGGGCAAGAACAGACCCATTGCCTTCTCAACAAGCATGTCCTAACACAGTCAGTCAGTAGCATGTCCCTTGCAGAACCTTGCTTCTATAACAACCTTCCTGAAAACTTCTCGATCACAAGCAAGATGTCCTGCATCCGTTACACCCATCTGGAGGTCATCTGCCACATTCTGTACCCATCTTCTTTTTGGCCTTTGTGACGTGCAGCGGCTTCCTGCTGATGTGCGGCGTACCAAAGATTAATCAGGGTGTCGTTATTGTAACAAATGACATGAACAACTTACAATGCCACCGGCCAAGTGTAACAGAACATGATACATGTTAAAGGCTTCCAAACGTAGTTGAACGATAAACTCTCTTAAAAGGTTCCATTGTTGTATTGACAATAGCAATGATCAACAGAAGGAGAAAATGTGCAATTAATAATCCAAACACACCAACCGAGCCTGCTCGTACATGAACTTACTTCCTAACAAATGACGGGTCGCAGTCCGACCTTGGAAATTGGAAATCCGGACAGTCACATCGATTTCGGTCTGACCTTGGAAATCCGGACAATCATCTCCATTTTCTCTTCTGCAGTCTGAACAAGGTAGTATAAGTATACCAGCTTATTGCCGAACGTAGTAGACAATTACCAGCTTTTTGCTGAGGTTTATAGTGGAGTCCCGGGGAAGAGTGTCCTCAAGGATCCAACTTTGATTACCATTCCATCAGTGGCATCCCGGGGTAGAATGTCCTCAAGGATCCAACTTTGATTACCATTCATCATCAGTTTAGATTATCCAACTTTGATTACCATTCCATCAGTGGCATCAGGGGCATGTCTCAAGGGTCCAACTTTGATTACCTCATCAGGCATCCCAAATGTCATCTGTCCACACATCTGTCTCTTTCAGACTGTAAACATCTAATGCTCGGACAACAACAATACCTTAACTACATTACATATTGATTTGACGTCTTATTTGCTCACTCAGTACTGGTGCGTTCTAGTGCACATCCGCACGCGACAGCCTTCCTCTTCCTTTCTTCCCAGGCATATATATCCCTTGATTATTTTTCTCTTCAAACTACATGATGTTTCAAGGGACCAAAATATTTCAATTTTCTGTCTTTTATCTTTAATAGCCAACCTTCTTCAGTATTCAACTCTTGAAGTATGGATGTATTTCTTCCTTTCTTTACCCATGATATTTTTAGAACGCGTCCATAACATTTGTATTACAAGGCATTTATGCGCTGTTCAGCTTGTTTAGTAAGTGTCCATGTCTCACAGGCGTATGTTGCAATGGGAAAGATGCAAGCTCTTAGAAATCTAATTTTTGCAGTTCTATCTGTCCCACTCCATAATTTATGGTTAGCGAGGTAGGGGTATACCCTGTCAGAGGAGATGTAAGACGCCTCCTTTCCTCCGTTAGTCTACAGACACCCTTGAGCAAAGTGGTGTACCTGTTTAGCCCCCCAGTCAGGGTTACGTGAAGCCATGGAAGCAGATGGTGGATGGAGTTAAGAGCAGCCGACAGATTGTTATACAGAGAATAAATTGTGCAGTCTGTTGTTTGTATCCGCTTTGTTCAAATGTGTAATTGCTTTGGTTTGACAATGTTGCTGATCTGCAGTTTGTGTTGTTTCTTAATCAGCAAACGTTTGAGTCTCACAAACCAGAGGAAATTCTGGAGTCAACTACAGATGCTGCTGGCTGGAAGCTGGAGGTTGAGAGAGTGATGCCACAACTCAGGGTCACCATCAGAACAGACAACAAGGTCAGTACTGTTTTCAGATATTTTTCATCTGATTTAGAAAAGGTGTTAATTTACAAAATAACACAAAAATGAAACGGACAAATTAAAAATCTAGGGTGAGTTTTCACATCAGAAATAAGAATGGGTAGAGAAATTAGCATATGATGTGCTAAAGCAAATCAGGTGCTGGCACATCTAACACCACTTTTGGAAATCACTTTTTTTTTTTACTCCTGTTTTAATATTACTATTATAATAATTATTATTGTTACTAGTTTTGCTCCTTCATTTCTTTTATTCATTCCACATGTTTTCTCTTCCTAGAAAGTGTAAAGTTGAGAGGATGGACTTCATTGCACCGGGTTTTATCCCATATGGCTTAGTCTCTCTCTACAGAACGGCTAGCCATCTGCCGAGAGCGCAGCACAGAGCTTGAACTACATAGCTCTGCTGGCGATCCCCAGGAATCTACCCAAAATTTGTACTCGTGAAAAGCGCAGCCATGTAAAGAACCCAGGACCTTCAGAGCGCGATTCAAACGGCTTGACCGCTTCGCCACTGAGCTCCCTGTATTTTATAGTTATTTACGGGGACCCCACCCCCTTCTCTTTAGAGTGCTTTGCCCTGTGTTGCTGCTCTTGTTGTTTGTGTTGAGAAAGGCTTCGACCAAAATATTTTGTTTTGTTTTGTATGTATATGATGTTCCCCTTTCCCCCTTTTGTTAAACTTCTTAGTCACAATTCAGCGAATATTTTTGACACATAGAAGAATACTTTCTTCAACCAAGGCAGATCTGTTAAAAAAATGTGTGGGCCAACTCTCTGCTACCTTGGTTACAAGACTCTGTGTGCATCCGGTGTGCTTCTCATGCTTGGCTGTGCCGATCTTTACTCCCAATTCTCGTATTCCTAGCAGTGATGTTGCTTCCAAAATCCTCAGAATGTCCTATCTCTCTAAGGGCAATGACAGTGTCTGCATGATCCACGGGCCGGCCATCTCAAATTAATGCAGCACTTGCAAGTCTATTAGCTCTAGAGACCATATGTTTGCCTGTCGAAGGGTCCCTCTCAGACCATCTGCCAACAAAGGCAGCTGGTCAGTATTTCTCCTTGTCTGCCTGGTCTGCCCTACCATGACATTAAGTTTTACATTTCCTCTTCCTAAGATAGGGCTGGTATCCTCGGGGATGCTCCCCTCCGCCCAAAAACTGTTGACATAGTGTGAGATGTCAGTTTCCGTATACACAGCCCACAATTTGGCATCAACAGAAAACATGTAGTGTCAACTCCCATGATGACAGTGAGCTCACCCTATTGAGCTCATTATTCCCCTTGTGAGTTCCGGAGCCCCATTGAAACAAGGAAAGACCCACTGCCTCCCTAACAAGTATGTTGTTGTAAGTCGACTGATTAGGGTATTCCTTGTAAGTCAGAGTGCATCTGTCTGAGAGGCAAGGAACCAACAGTCTGCACACAAATAAGCCATATCTGTAAAATGGATGTACATGCAATACTCAAGTTCTGGAATAAGACTAAAGTCCAGAAGTGGATGAACAACCAGAACTTTTTGCCAGAGTTTACAGACCATTGAAGCTTAGACAATGAAATATATACCTTTCAGCAAAACAGCAAATGACTAATAGTATTTTCATCCCTACTTTATGGTATCAGTGTCAGACATGGACAATGAATAAGGCACTAGAACTGAAAAGAACTACATGTGAAATGCGTTGTCTCCATAAGGTCACTAACAACACTAGACAAGACATGGTTACAAAAGCAGCATTAGAGAGAGAAAAATGGAATAAGATCATGTCTGGATTACATTGATAGACACAGAATGAAATGAGTCAGGCCATCTAGTGAGAATGCAGCCAGACCAGACTGCATATGCTACTCTTTACAGCAGAAGGTCAGGGAGGAAGGCAAGGGAAAGACAAAGAAAGAGATGGATAAATGTCAGTCTAGCTGTAGCAAGGTGAAACAGCGCAGAAAATCATTTGATCTACAAAAGATGACGAAAACATCACTGATCCAAACTGGTATTCCTAGACCTTGTCACCCGAGAGAAAAAGCACTAGGATTGGTGAGATGACAGAAATCATATCAATTCTACAAAGGCAGAAAATCATATCACTGATCTACACAAACTGGTATTGGTGAGATGACAGAAAAATCACTGATCACTGATTGGTGAGATGACAGAAAATCAAACTGGTACAAACTGGTATTGGTGAGATGACTAAGAAAATCATGGTCACTGATCTACAAAGCTTGGTATTGGATCTACAAACTAACATTGGTGTGAGATGACAGAAAATCATATCACTGATCTACAAACTGGTATTGGTGAGATGACAGAAAAAATCACTGATCTACAAACTGATGGTGAGATGACAGAAAATCTGGATCTACAAACTGTATTGGTGAGATGACAGGGATCACTGGATCTACAAACTGGTATTGGTGAGATGACAGAAAATCATATCACTGATCTACACAAACTGGTCATTGATCTACAAAGATGACAGAAAATCAATCATGATCTACAAACTGATCTACAAACTGGTATTGGTGAGATGACAGAAAATCATATCACTGATCTACAAACTGGTATTGGTGAGATGACAGAAAATCATATCACTGATCTACAACTGGTATTGGTGAGATGACAGAAAACATATCACTGATCTCACTGGTATTTGGTGAGATGACAGATCACTGATCTACAAACTACAGAAAACCATCTGAATCTACAAACTGGTATTGGTGAGATGACAGAAAATCATATCACTCATTGTCACTGGTATTGGTGAGATCAGAAATCAATCACTGTATCTACAAACTGTATTGGTGAGATGACAGAAATATCACTATCACTATCACTGATCTACACTGGATTGGTACAAATCATATCACTGATCTACAAACTGGTATTGGTGAGATGACAGAAAATCATGTCACTGATACACAAATTGGTGAGATGACAGAAAATCATATCACTGATCTACAAACTGCATTGGTGAATGACAGAAAATCATCACTGATCTACAAACTGGTATTGGTGAGATGACAGAAAATCATATCACTGATCTACAAACTGGCATTGGTGAGATGACAGAAAAATGTCACTGTCTACAAACTGGTATGGTCATCTGTCACTTTATCAAACTGGTATTGGTGAGATGACAGAAAATCATGTCACTGATCTACAAAAAGATGACAGAAAATCATGTCACTGATCTACAAACTGGTATTGGTGAGATGACAGAAAATCATGTCACTGATCTACAAACTGGTATTGGTGAGATGACAGAAAATCATGTCACTGATCTACAAACTGGTATTGGTGAGATGACAGAAAATCATCAGATCTACAAAACTGGTATTGGTCTACAAGAAAATCATGGTCACTGACTTACAAACTGGTATTGGTGAGATGACAGAAAATCATAATCACTGATCTACAAACTGGTATTGGTGAGATGACAGAAAAAATCATGTCACTGATCTACAAACTGGTATTGTGTGACCTAACAGAAAATCATATCACTGATCTACAAACTGGTATTGGTGAGATGACAGAAAATCATATCACTGATCTACAAACTGGCATTGGTGAGATGACAGAAAATCATATATCACTGATCTACAAACTGGTATTGGTGAGATGACAGAAACTCAATCATATCACTGGTTCTACAAAACTGGTATTGGTGAGATGACAGAAAATCATATCACTGATCTACAAACTGGTATTGGTGAGGATGACAGAAAATCATATCACTGGAGATTGACAGAAAATCATATCACTGATCTACAAACTGGTATTGGTGAGATGACAGAAAATCATATCACTGATCTACAAACTGGCATTGGTGAGATGACAGAAAATCATATCACTGATCTACAAACTGGTATTGGTGAGATGACAGAAAATCATATCACTGATCTACAAACTGGCATTGGTGAGATGACAGAAAATCATATCACTGATCTACAAACTGGCATTGGTGAGATGACAGAAATCATATCACTGATCTACAAACTGGTATGGTTGAGATGACAGAAAAATTCCACTGATCTCAAACTGGCACTGACAGAAAATCTATCACTGATCTACAAACTGGCATTGGTGAGATGACAGAAAATCATATCATGATCTATACAAAACTGGCATTGGTGAGATGACAGAAAATCATATCACTGATCTACAAACTGGTATTGGTGAGATGACAGAAAATCATATCACTGATCTACAAACTGGTATTGGTGAGATGACAGAAAATCATATCACTGATCTACAAACTGGTATTGGTGAGATGACAGAAAATCATATCACTGATCTACAAACTGGCATTGGTGAGATGACAGAAAATCATATCACTGATCTACAAACTGGTATTGGTGAGATGACAGAAATCATATCATGATCACAAAATCTACAAACTGACAGAAATCATTCACGGTGGTATGACAGAAATCATATCACTGATCTAAAACATGAGATGACTGATCACTGATCTACAAACTGGTATTGGTGAGATGACAGAAAATCATATCACTGATCTACAAACTGGTATTGGTGAGATGACAGAAAATCATATCACTGATCTACAAACTGGCATTGGTGAGATGACAGAAAATCAATCACTAATCTACAAACTGATCTACAAACATGTGATCTATATTGGTGAGATGACAGAAAATCATATCACTGATCTACAAACTGGTATTGGTGAGATGACAGAAAATCATATCACTGATCTACAATGGCATTGGTGAGATGACAGAAAATCATATCACTGTCTACAAACTGGTATTGGTGAGATGACAGAAAATCATATCAAAATCGGTGAGATGACAGAAAATCATATCACTGATCTACAAACTGGTATTGGTGAGATGACAGAAATCATATCACTGATCTACAAAATGGTATTGTTGAGATGACAGAAAATCATATCACTGATCTACAAACTGGTATCGGTGAGATGACATAGTAAATTCATATCACTGATATTGGTGAGATGACAGAAAATCATATCACTGATCTACAAACTAGTATTGGTGAGATGACAGAAAATCATATCACTGATCTACAAACTGGTATATGGTGAGATGACAGAAAATCATATCACTGAGTACAAACTGTATTATGGTGAGATGACAGAAAATCATATCACTGATCTACAAACTGGTATTGGTGAGATGACAGAAAATCATATCACTGATCTACAAACTGGTATTGGTGAGATGACAGAAAATCATATCACTGATCTACAAACTGGTATGGGGGAGATGACAGAAAATCATATCACTGATCTACAAACTGGTATTGGTGAGATGACAGAAAATCATATCACTGATCTACAAACTGGTATTGGTGAGATGACAGAAAAATCACTGATATCAATGATCTACAAACTGGTATTGGTGAGATGACAGAAAATCATATCACTGATCTACAAACTGGTATTGGTGAGAATGACAGAAAATCATATCACTGACTACAAATCTGGTATTGGTGAGATGACAGAAAAATCATATCACTGATCTACAAACTGGCATTGGTGAGATGACAGAAAATCATATCACTGATCCTACAATTGGTGAGATGACAGAAAATCATATCACTGATCTACAAATGGTATTGGTGAGATGACAGACAAATCTATCACTGATCTACAAACTGGTATTGGTGAGATGACAGAAAATCATATCACTGATCTACAAACTGGTATTGGTGAGATGACAGAAATATCACTGAATACAAACTGGATTGGTGAGATGACAGAAAATCATATCACTGATCTACAAACTGGTATTGGTGAGATGACAGAAAATCATATCACTGATCTACAAACTGGTATTGGTGAGATGACAGAAAAAGAAGTAGAAGAAAAAGAACACTAAGAAAAAGAACCCATTGTAATAACACTGACACATCATCATTATCATCATAAACCACTTCTGCTGCCGTTAAGCAATGGGTGAGGGTGGGGGGAGGGTGAATAATTTGCCATCCTGTGCAGGTTGGCTGCCACTGGCTATTGTCAAGCTATGACGGCAGAGAGTGTCTTTAATGTTGTCAATTCATCGCTTTCGGGGCCATTCTCCTGCTCTTGTAGCTGATCTTCTGAGATGTAGTGCTTATAATGGTATTGGATCTTGATGCATTCTAACTAGATGGCCAAACCATTACTGATACATCTGTCTCTCTGTGGTAATCATTAGGACTGGCGAGTGCACCTGGAGCAGATGCACCAACACAATGATGGCATTGAGACCTCTCTGAACGAAAGCAAAATTCACCTGGACAAACTGCAGGATGAGATCTCACATACCTTGGAGAAGATCTCCAGCCGAGAGAAGTACATTAACTCTCAGCTGGAGCATCTTCTGGTCAACTTCCGACATGCCCAAGATGCACTGGCAGAAACCAAGGAGAAATACAGACAGGCCAGTGGTGGGGTGACCTCAGAAGTCAAGAACACTAGCACAGGTGAGTGACCTTTAGAAGATTCTGTTGTTGAAAGTACTATTTCCTGGTTCAGGGTTCAAAGGTAAAGGTGAGAGGATTGACTTCATTGTACTGGGTTTTATCCCATGTGGCTCAGTCTCTCCACAAAGCAGCTAGCTGCCTGCTCAGAGCATGACACAAAACACAACCTCCTTAGCTCCAGCAACGCAAGAGATCTCTTTAAAAATTGCACTACTTGTGAACTGAACCCACTTTTGTGTGCTAAAGTTGCTAAATGGGCAGACAACACAAGACCAAGTGTCCTGAATATGATTCACACTCCAACTGTTGTACCCAACTTGCGCAGAAAACTGTTTGGAAAACTCAACGACATGTTTTGCCGCCATACATGCACATTTTTTGTTACAATTTCAAGCGGGTATAAAGAAAGCTGTACATATAACAAGTAACCATAGATGTCACTGGCTAATTATGAAATGAATGTCCCCTCACTTCGCTCTCTCAAACTGACACAGCGGTTCTTTCTCAGACAGCCTACACTAGCTGGGCTGACCGCTACAGTACCTAGGTCTTCAGCTCCTCCTCACTTCAGGGCTCGCTGTACGGATGAACAGGTTACATCTCCTACTCAACTTGACCTCCGTTGCTCTATACGTATCAGATGCTGTCACGTCGGCTGACTGGAAAACTTCCGATTCCTGATCTCCAGTCTGTGCACACAGCACATCAGCCTTGTCAAAGGAACCCCAATGACCGACAGGACACCAAGCCCGAGTCCTCTTCAGCACACAGCTGTCGCCAACACCCCTGCTGTCTTGTTTCACTAGAATCCTAGCGCCTCACATGCGTCGTCACCCAAGACAGCTTGTACTCGAAGTAGTCCAGCTCTCTAGGCCTTAACTCTGACCACTAGACTTCTCTTGGTTCGACGGCACTCTCGATTGTCTCCGCCTCAAACATTCTCAACTCAACTGTTCTCTCAGCACGTTCTAACAGACCTCTTTGTTTTCTCAACTGATCTCAACCTCGCTATACACACACACACACACACACACACGCCTGTCCCTTGTGAGCCTCCTTGCACACAGAACGCCCACTGTTATGCTTGAGTCCCCTTCACTGAGAACTCCATACTTTTCTCTGCTATAGCTGCTATCCATGCACTAAGTATAATAATTAGCCCACACTGGGCTGATAACTTCGTGAACCTACTTGTCCATCCAGCCCTAGGCCAACACCCTCTTGCAATAATACTGACTCAAGCTGAACTATCATCTCCTGGCTCATGTCAACACTGTACCAAATATTGACTTAGGTCACCGGACACTCCAGTGGACTCCCAAAAGCACAATTCACGTTGTCCCCAACAATGTCACAACCCTTCTGAATCCACATGAATCAGCACGCATGACCTTCAGCGTGAGTCAAATGGCTTGACCTCGTATTCCTGGTTCATTAACGTTAGTATATGAACGATATATTGAATTCACCCAGCCATGTCTGTTACATGTAATCATGTTTGTAGTAAATGTGAGAGAACCAGATGTGTTTAAAGAAAACGGATAATCATTCAAGACTCAAGTTCTGGAACAAGACTAAAATCCAGAAGTGGAGGAACAACCAGAACTTTCTGTCAGAATTTACAACTGGTGAACCTTAAGGTAAAGTAGAAGATAGTGCAGCACCTTCCACTCTCTTATGCAGCAGGTGGTTCAAACTCCACACCATGCAGTCTCCACAGATGCTTTCTGCCATCTCCCCAGACAGTGGGATCCATCATTGAATGTCTGCAGTGACTTCTGGTGATCCCAGGCGCACACTTGCGTCCTAAAAGTTGCTTTGTTGATGGCACCACACCTGTGAAGTGACCTTTTATATTTGTAATAATGTCAAGGATCCAGGCTCCCTTTGATAAAACATTGTAGAATTTTCTGTTTCCAGCCCACTAAGATGGTGACTGTGTTTTTCTTCTCTGCGTTCGACTCGACAAGAAATTTGAAATTTATAACAAAATGGTCTGTCAGAGCTAGGAGAATATAAACTTGTAGAAACGGGATTCAGATATTTGGAGAGGAGATGGGCACCACCAAGCAAACCGTTTGCCCACTGAAATGTCTGATGGATAATCGGTACAAGAACCCAACGGTTAGCACTGTGTTTTCGGTACATCGAATGTAAGAATGTTATATGCACATGGAACAGTTAAAGAATTCACTCATGAACTTGAAAGATATACCATTGGATAACGTTGGGTGGGGGGGGGGGGGGGGGGGGGGGGGGTGTAGAAAGAAGAGGAGGGCAAAGAACGACCTGGAATGAAAACATCAAGAAATGGACAGGACTACATCAAGCGGAAGACAGAAAGATGTTGAGTTTTGTGTGCTAGTGCTTCCATCAGTACACCTCCACGACCCTAATGGGTCAAGGGTTATGTTATGTTATGTAGATTCTTGGGCCTGAACTTGTTCTTAAAGTCTTTGTGTATACTACTAACAACTGTAACTTGTACATTCGGTAGATCACAGAAGAATTGGAGAAAGCTAAGCAAGAAATGGACGAGCAAGGAAGCAGCATGACTGACGGAAGTAAGTTTAGTTTATGTTTTTATTTCATGTGCTTCAGCTGGACAGAGAAATTAGCTCGAGATGTGCCAAAGCGAAGCAAGTGATGGGGCAACTATCTCCCCTGTTGACACACAAGCAGATACCCCACAGTACTAACGTGAATCTTATCAGAACTATTTTTTGGCCAACACTATGCTATCAGTGCCGAACGTGGACACTTAAATTCTCCAATGACTGTAAATCCTCGGAAAAGATGGAGTGATGGCATTTAGAACAGCCTAACAGAAATGAACATCAGTCTTAACAGTGCTCTTGACAGAGCTCATCAACGAATGTTACATCTTCTCCCGACACTTCGACGAGGTACAAGGTGGAAGAGAAGAAGAAGAAGAAGAAAATGCAAGCTAATCTGTTCAACTTTGGGGGATCCTGTGTTGTGATTATTAGTTAGTAAATCAGGTGCCATCTTCACAATGAAGGTTGGCTGCAATGGATTTCCTGTACACTGTGTCTTTTCTTGGTTGTTCCTTCACCTGTTAATGTTGTCCTTACACTTGTATCGGTGTCTATGTTTTGCTTTCTTGCTCTCGACCTTTCCCTCCAGTATGGTTTTTCATCGAATATTTTGTCTTTTGTTTTAATGTAAACATAATATTTCAGTTGTCTTGTGTTTTTAAATTTCTTTCAGTGACTCTCTTTTCACTCACAGTCCCTCCAAAACCTCTGTGTTTGATTGCTTTTGTTTCCCTGTGATGCAACATATTCTTCAGTATATCCACATTTCCAGACTCAGTTTGATTCTCTAACTGTTCGTTCATTGTCCAGGTTTTTGCACCAAACATGCAATCTTTGTTTTGATTACACACCTGACTGTACATTTCTGTTGCCATTATTCAACCTGTTTAATTTTGGGAGACCCTGTGTTCTGATTACAGGCTCAGGGGTGTATTTTTTAAAATTCATGCTACAATCTGTTTAACTGGATAGACCCCGCTAGAAGCTAATCTTTCATGTGTGTGAATACTCAGGCCTCACAATTGTTGTAAAATGCATAATGGAGGAGACAGGGACACCTGTTTACTGTTTTTCTGTTGTTACATTCTTTCTTGATTGTCAACCTCTGTTTCAGCCACACTTGTTAGTATTTTCCAGTTGCTACATCATTTTTTCACTCTTTGTTTCAGCCATACTAGTCAGTATTTTCTTGTTGCTACCTCACTTTTTTCATGACTTTCAACCTCTGTTTCAGCTACACTTGTTAGTATTTTCCAGTTGCTACATTATTTTTTCATGATTTCACTTTGTTTCAGCCACACTAGTCAGTATTTTCTTGTTGCTACATCACTTTTTTCATGACTTCCAGCCTCTGTTTCAGCCACACCTGTTAGTATTTTCCAGTTGCTACATCATTTTTTCATGACATTCACCCTGGTTCAACCCCATTTGCCATTATTTTCTTGCATCACTTTTATGTGACTGTTAACCTCTGTTTTTTCTTCTTATTGGTGTTTGGTTTTGTATGCTCAGATCAGACCACCAGGTGGGTTGCTTCTATGAACTTGCATGTCAGTAGCAGGTCCTTCATGGTTCCTCATAGCTTGCTCTGCCCACTTTGCTGCTCCTGAGGCCAGGTGTCTTTTCGAAGTTGTAGGTAGTGTAGGCAGGTCTGGAGAATGTGGTCAGGTGTTTGTGGTCCTCTTTGACAGGCACACTGTGGGGACTGTACAATCTTTATTTTATGCATGTGGTAGTTGAGCTTGCAGTGTCCTGTTCATAGACGGAAAATTGTTGTATGTTGAGTCTGCTGATGGGGTCTTGTGGATGTTTACTCTCTGTTTCAAGCCCTGCTTGTCAGTATTTTCATGTTGTCACATCACATTTTTGTGACTGTCATCTTCTGTTTCAGCCCCACTAGTCAAGATCAAACAGTGCATCCAACAGCTGAAGAGGGAGAACACACAGATGGATGTCCGAGTTGGGGTTGTGGAGCATATTTTGCTGCAAGCCAAGCTGAAAGATAAGACTTTACAGAACCGCCAGGTGCATCTCAACAGTGGAAACCCTGATAGTTTTATCATTTAACTCCTGTTGCTTCCTCTAGGACTTTATATTTTTATCATTTAACTCATGTTGCTTCCTCTAGGACTTGATAGTTTTATCATTTAACTCCTGTTGCTTCCTTTAGGACTCAATAGTTTATCAGAGTAGAGACAGGAAGGCAAAGCAGGTGGCCAGTTGTATTGTAACAATGATCTTTCTATGCTGAAACTCGGGCCTTTGACCCATGATGGTCCCCATTTTCAAAATATTGGCCGCCGGTAGTAAAGTTATTGAATGTTCCTACCCTAGGACTTAAAGGCTTATAATTTAAATTATTTCAGTCTGCTCAGAACTTTAAAATTTTCAAAAATTAAGGTAAGTAAAATTTTCAGAAAGTAAAGGACCCATTAATTTGACCCACTGAGCATTTACTGCTAGATGCGGGTTTTTTCTTTCTGATGGTACGCAATAGTTAGAAGTGCTGACATTTTTTCTATTTAGGCATAATAATTTGTTTCAAAACTACTGTAGTAGACACTTAGAGGTAGGTGCTGGCACCTCTGTTTAGATATTTTAAGATAAATACCGGCACCGTTTACTGTAGAGAGAAAAAGAAAAGCCTGGTTAGACGCATATTTCATTGACCAGTGAGTGATGTGGTCAGCATTATTATGGCCAGAGCTGTGTTTTTTCTTTTGGAATGCCTTTCATTTGTACAGCGGTAAAGTAGTGGACCTCAGTATGGCCCGTAGTCGGTTTACGTATGGGCTTGTGAAATACCTCATGTAATAAATTTACACGTGTATAGCCAACTTATCGTGACCGAGTACTTCCATCAACTGCATTTCCAGTGGTGTTTGTTGGCTTTGGCACCTCTAGCAAATGTCAAGAATTACTGCATGCGCATATTTCTGGATTGTGCCAGGACATTTGTTTGTTCACTAGTTTTTCAGATGAGACATTTCATTTGATTTTCACTGCAGCAGGTAGCAAGTATGGGGTGACCCAATTGCAGCGAAGTTGAAACCTCGACTAAGACTGAGGCTTCTTAAGACGTTAGCTGGTACACATTTTAGCCTGGGTCAACCTTGGAACTAAGGTCAGTTTTGAAAAAATCTTCCTCGATGCGGAGGTAGACCTTAGACCTTCAGGCGAGTAGGCAAATATCAAACCTTACTGTGGCTGCCCATTTTAAGAATTCATCATCATCAAGTGCCTTTCCAGCTGGCGTAGGTGTTCATGCATCTTCATAGATCTCGGTCTTTGGTGTTCTGGATCCATTTCACTGATGATATTCCTCCAAGCCACTGTCTTAACCATCCACTATGATTCCTCTTTGTCTGCCTCTGCCACCAGTAATCTTTTCAGTCGTCATATTTTCCAGTGCCCCTTTTCTCATCACATGACTGAAGAATGTTTGTTTGTCTCCTTCTCATTGTTGTATATAATGTTCTACTTTCATTAGCCATTTCCAGACAATCATTGTTAGTTATTCTGGCAGTCCAAGGTATTCGCAACATTCTTCTCAAGAACCACATCTCACTTGCCTCCAAACTCTTCTTAATTTGTTTGCTCACATTCCAAGATTCACTACCATACAACAGAACAGGCTCGATGTAACATTTTAGTACTGATTTTCTGATGTTTAATGAGTGATTTATTACATAAGATGCTTTTCATCTTCTGAAATGCTGCCTTTTGTCTGGCCAATTCTGCTCTTAATTTCTGTCACATCCTCCATCTGGTGTTATGAATGTCTCTAAATACTTGAATTCATTGAATTTTTGAGAATTACTATGTTGAAAATTGTGTTTTTAAGTTTCTCGTCATCATTGTGGGCTATGAAGGTAAGCGTGGTTGATTATGGTTCACTACCTAATACACTTGCTAGGGTTAGGCCAGGGCTGTTTGTCCAAGTGTCTATTAGGCTAAACCGTTGAGGTCTGTTCTCCTCCGTTAAAGTGGTACAAGAAACAACATGGATAAACTGTACAAATAAAATTCAATAGTCAAGTGATAATTGGTGCTTTTCTCTTCTGATAACTGATGCTTTTCTCTTCTGATAATTGATGCTTTTCTCTTCTGATAACTGATGCTTTTTTTCTCTTCCGATAATTGATTCTTTTCGCTTCTGATAACTGATGCTTTTCTCTTCTGATAATTGATTCTTTTCTCTTCTGATAATTGATTCTTTTCTCTTCTAATAATTGATTCTTTTCTCTTCTGATAACTGATGCTTTTCTCTTCTGATAATTGATGCTTTTCTCTTCTGATAATTGATGCTTTTCTCTTCCGATAATTGATTCTTTTCGCTTCTGATAATTGATTCTTTTCTCTTTTGATAATTTATGCTTTTCTCTTCTGATAATTGATGCTTTTCTCTTCTGATAATTGGTGAATTCTCTTCTGATAATTGATGCTTTTCTCTTCTGATAATTCATTGATGCTTTTCTCTTCTGATAATTCATTGATGCTTTTCTCTTCTGATAATTTATGATATTCTCTTCTGATAATTAATGCTTTTCTTTTTTGATAATTTATGATATTCTCTTCTGATAATTGGTGCTTTTCTCTTCTGGTAATTGATGCTTTTCTCTTCTGGTAATTTATGCTTTTCTCTTCTGGTAATTGGTGCTTTTCTCTTCTGATAATTGATGCTTTTCTCTTCTGGTAAACTGATGCTTTCCTTTTCTGATAACTGATTATTGTTGATGTTAATTTAGTTGCTCTACTCTTGCTCATAGACTCTTCAAATACATTTTGCATGTCAGTTTCAATCTGTATTTTATGAAATTGGCAACAAATGTATTTTTCATACATCTAATATGTAACCTTTTCTCTGTTTTTAAATACAGTTTGTTTCAGATTGTTACAAAAGAGTTTCTATCCGTCCATTGTATGATACGTAAAGTGGTACTGATTAAAAAATGAAAACAAACTATAGTTTTTTATTGTCATTGCTATTTGTGCAATAAAAAAAATGTATTTCATTATTATTGCATGCTCTTTCATAACCAAAATGAGATTTTTGTCCAACAGATACAGCAATGTAGTGTTGAATAATGTGTTGTTGAATGATGAAGTGTTGAAAGATGTAGTGCTGAGTGATGTAGTGTTGAATGATGGAGTGCTGAATGATGTAGTGTTGAATGATGTAGTGCTGAATGATGTAGTGCTGAATGATGAAGTGTTGAATGATGTAGTGCTGAATGATGTAGTGCTGAATGATGTAGTGCTGAATGATGAAGTGTTGAAAGATGTAGTGTTAAATGATGTAGTGCTGAATGATGTAGTGTTGAATGATGTAGTGTTGACTACAGGGAGCTGTATAATGTAATCATTGAGGGCAAATGCCACAGAGAAGAGTCCTCCTCTTCTTCTTTGCACTTGGTTTTGTATGCTCAGATCAGACCATCAGCTGGGCTGCCTCTATAAACTCGCATGTCATTAGCAGGTCCTTCATGGTTCCCCCATAGCTTGCTCTGCACACTTTGTTCTTGAGGTCAAGAATAGTAGTATTGATTGAATGAAGCTAGTGATGGTTAGGTAAGTGTTTCCCAGCTGTTTAAGATTTGCATATTTTTAAAAAAAAATCTCTTGACCCTCAGTCTCTAAACCACATTTAACTCGTACCACTAATATCCACCGCCCCCTAACCCCCCCCATAAAGCTAACTGTCTCTACCACATAAAGCTAACTGTCTCTACCACATAAAGCTAACTGTCTCTACCACACCTTCTCCATTAATATAGCACATACCTTTTTTTTTTTCCTTTTTGATTCTGATGAGTGATTTTGTAACATGTAAGAACTAACTGCCTCGAGTTTTTTTTCTGGGCACATAACATTCTTTAAAATTCCTTACAGATACTAAATCTTCATTGCCTTAAGTTTCTTCACAATTCTGTTACTTGTTTCCCAGCATTTGCATCCATCAATAAAAACTGTCCGCACACAAATATACTTCTTCTTTTCATTTTACTTTTTTTCAGCATTCTGAATCTTCGAGAATCATTGCTGCCGATATCATCCGCCTCCATTCATCTCTGTGATTGACCTTCTCTTCACAGTTGGAGACTTAAAGTGTTTGTAAGCCTGTCTGTAAATCATCTCTTCATCATCTTCTTGAATTGTCTGATGGTCTACTCACATAAAACATTTTTCATGTGTAGAGTTTTTTCGTTTTAATTCTGCACACAAAGCGAACAGAAGAGCCCATTCCTTAAACATGTTCCTATTCTGATGCTGCAAGGCATTCCAGTTGTAGAGAAAAGAAGAAGCAGATTATGTTATCTGCCCTTCTCTCTTAAGCCCTAGCCACTGCAGTCTGTGGTTCCTCATGATCTTCTTCTTCAGCATTCTGAGCCCTTGAGGTTCATTGCTGCAGATATCACCTGCCTCCATCATCTCTCTGGTTGGCCTTCTCTTTCCAGTTGGTGACACCAAGTGTTTGCAGGTCTGTCTGGGTATTATCTCTCCATCGTCTTCTTGGTCTGCCTCATAGTCTACGACCATTCATCTCCCTGGTGTATACAGTTTTTTACTTCTCTGTCATCTGACATTCTTTCAATATGCCCCAACCATCTCTCATGATGCCAGTAATCACTGGTGGTTTAAACAGATTATGAATTTGGTTGTTGCTTCTCCACTTTCAATTCCCCACTGTTAGTATCGTTAATGAGTCAAAAGATTAATCTTAAGACTTGTCAAAAGTTTGTAATAAGGCTGAGTTGTACTCAGATTTCAGAGCCATATAGGAAACAGAAATGAAATAAAATAATACAACGAACTGCAACTACATAAACTGCTGAAACAGCAATTTTAATACAAATCAAATTCAACACACTATCTGCAATACCAGAAGAACAACTTCATGATTAACTAATTCTTAAAGTTGATTCCTAAGTTAAAAAACAAAAACTATATAAGCATGTTAAATAGCTACATTTTAAGGCAGTTCTGATCGATTTGATTTCAACTAACAAATGATTACGAAGTTTCTAATTATAATAATAACAGTGAAGGAAAAAAAAACAGCATTTGTCGAAGAAAACACAGCAGTAGAAGAAGAAAATGGAAGAGTAGAAAGTGATGGGTGAGGAGACTAGGAGGAGTAAGACGAAAAATATGATCTAGTGGCATGGGAGTTAGTGTTCTCACCTGCTGAGTCAGTGGCTGCGTTCAATTCCTACAAGTGACAGATTTACTATTAACAATATTACACACTTAAATAAGGCTCAAGCTCACTGAGTGTGTTTCCCTGTGTTTTTTGTGTATCGGCGCCCCTTCTTAACACTTTGAGTACAATCCATTCATTTAGAAAATGTACATTGCAGAGAACAGTTATAAAAGATTGTCAATGTAATTTCCAAAACACATCGGCGACCGGGTTGCCCATTGGCTGGCTGATGGATGACTTCTTCGACAGTCGGGACAGTATTTGAGTCCGTCTCCCTTGATGGCATCTAGACTGCAAGAGTCATTTTCAAGGATACTTGGTGGCGAGCAACGCTAAGCTATTTTATATGGCGCAAATAAACAGCCACACTTATAACCAAAAGCTCCCCGTGGGAGGAGGAGGGGGGTTGAACGTGACGATATTTTTTTTTTGGAAAAGCATAGCAGTGTTTCCCCGTTGTAGATTTGAACAAAGAAGACACAAATAATAGATTGCACAATTTATTGCTGGCCATATTTCGCTGTATCCTGAATCTTAATCGCCCAATGAACTGTCCTAGTCTGGTGCAACTTCACTCTAAAATTCAAATCATTGCATCACTCTATTACTTCTTATATTTGGTCACAAAGTACTAAAAAAAATCTGGCTTCTCCAGAGGTCACTTCATTGTCTCTTTGGCCTCTCCAACAGCAAATCACATTTGCTTTGTCATATTCATCACCCCTTCTTATCATTTTTACCCCTTCTGCTACTGACGTTCGGTTTGAGGACCGCATTTACTTAAAAAAAAAAAAACACACACACACACAGTAAGTTTAATACATACGTATATGAAGCTTTGAATCAACAGACTACAGATCAAATGTTTTGGACATATGTCAAGACTGGCAACAGACAGTGCACCAAAGAAAGACCTGTCACTTAGACACAACAGAAACAGTCCAGGGGTCGATGACGCAAGCGATGGATAGATGGAATATCCGATGCGGTAAATACAAGCACCTCAGTAGCACATACTAAGTCTGTCAGTCGACGTCACTGCAAAACCTGATGCTGAAAGGCAACACAGGACTAACGAAGAAGAAGAAAGAGGGGGTTCTTTTCTGTTAAAGCGACCACACCACGCGAGATTTAGGGCGATCACATAGTACGGGGGTTGGGGGGGGGGGCTGACTGGACAGGCATGAAACCATGAAGTCCATCGCAACTGACCGCCAAAGGTGGAGAGAGCTGAATAGACAGTCAGCAGAAACTGGTGACCCAACGGCACGAAGTGTTACGCGATGATGATGATGATAAACCCTAACCACCAATACTATGGTTAGTTGCGTATCCTTTACATTACGTTGCAGAACCAACCCCAACAGCCCCTGGCTGTTGTGTGGTTTCTCTAGGCAAATTAACGTCCAGTAGTTTGTCATTGCGTTCTGGACGGTCGGCTTTCTTGATACCACTATCGAAACTAACGCAAGGCGCATGACCTGCAGCTGGGATCGAACCCGGCATCTATGCATTACGAAGCGTTCGCATCGACTTAGCCACAGAGCCGACTACCTATACCATGGGATATCCCTAAATCTCACGTGATGTGGTCGCTTAACAGAAAAGAACCGGAGGAGGAGGAGGAAGCTTCCATGGTTGAATTCTTATGATACAGTGCTTTTAGATTTGACATGGAATCTAACTCTGGGAGCACACGTTCTTGCAAGCAGCCTCTTGATATCTTCACGTTCAAAATACATCTGGCAACATTGATCACGACTGGCATCGTAAGAGGGAATAATGTCTTTGTATCTGGTCCGCCTTTTTTCAGTGATTATCGCATCATTGATGAAACCTGCAGGGAAAAACGTCAGGTAATAAACATCATTTTCATCATCAAATGTGTTGCCAGCTGGCATTGGCGATCATGCTTCTCCGTGTCTTCAGGTCTCCAGTTGCCTTGGTAACCAAGTGTAAACAATTTATCATGCAAACTTCTACGTTGAATGCCATAATGGTTTGGATAGAACGGTAATGTAGGGCATAATAAAAGGTGGTCCCATGTGGGGCGGAATTTGTCGTTATTTCGAAGCCACACTCCGGCTATTCTGATTCTTTAAAAAAAAAAAAAAAAAAATTCAAAGTTCGACCACTTTCAGACTGCTGTTAGCTAGCCGAGGGTGCTAACTATCTCCGCCTATATTTGTGGTCTGGTTTATTTGCGTCTCTGGGCTTGATGCTTGCTTTCTTCGAGTCAGACCGCTCGTTCTCTACCCAGTTGTTAGCTGTGTATTTCTTGCCTTTTCCTTCCTGGTGTTTCCTTCTTGGTTTCAGCTCACTCTGATTTGGCCAGGCGTATTTCGTAGAGTGATCTTCTCTACATAAGGTCCTTTGTACCACCAATATATAATGTTAAAATGTTGAGTATTTTACTTTTGCAAAAAGTGCTGAAAACAGTTTTTGGTTTTGGATAGATACCCGGCTTTTACCAGGGGGTCGCAATATAGCTTAAATGCTAAACGCGGTGTCTGGGACCTCGCCACGGGTGATCCTCATACGCATGGTGGCACTTTGTGTCACCGGGTGTTTATCGCTTGTGTGATGTCCTGGTATGTACAATTTTCTTACTTACTAAGTAGGACATGGCTTCCCCAATACAGGACGCTGTTTGATGTTACTTTAAAGTCCCCACCTTGGCTGTCGTTCGAGGCCCTAATATAACCTTACTGTTGGAAGGCGTTTGTGGGACTTGCATATGGGCGTTTCTCATCCAAATGGTGGTCAGTATCATCAAGAGCCTTGCCAGCTGGCGTAGGCGTTCATGCATCTCCACAGATCTCTGTAAAGGACTGAACATCAAGGAAGATTGGCTAATAAACAACATCCTGTCTCGGAAGCTGAAATATTTTGGTCATATCAAGCGCCACCACGGATTGGAAAAAAATAATAGCTAAAGGCATGGTATCAAGAAGGAGGGGCAGGAGCCGACCAACACGAAGATGGGCACAGGATATAAGTGACTCCTTGAGTATAAAAGCGAGAGACCGAGTTTCTTTCAGGCAGACCGTGATGAGAGCGACGTTCTGCAAAGGACCAGCTACACGATGATGATGATGATGATGCTATTGGCCTTGCCGAGACTGCAGTCTGTGGCAGTTAGATTCACAAGGACAGCGACAGGCATTCTGTGTGGCTTTCTTTGGCACAGGAACGGAGCAAATATGGGACGACCCGTCTGCTGTTATGCTGGAACTGCGATTCCCTGATTACATGACACAAACAAGAACAAGTAAAAAGGTGCTTTATTAATATCTTACCCCAGATGACGTCATAGGGGACAGTCCAACATTTTAGAGAGTGGTAAGTCTGGGTTTCCCGGCTTTTTAATGCTTTTAACGATCCCAAAAGATCTAGAACTGGCCCTAACCCTAATCCCCCTACGTCCCACGAGAGAGTGCAGCCTAGGTCCCACGACTGCATGCAGCCTACCTACCACCCCCTGAAATATTAGACTATCCTATGACCTTTGGATGTCCCCTGTTTGGGGTAGGATATTAATAAAGCGCCAGTAAAAGAAAAGTTGATAACTCTACCTTTTTCCATTTGCCAGAGCTTGCACTGGTCAGGAGTTGGTGCACATCTGCGTCTGGCACTGAGTTTGTTAATAGTTCTTGTATTAGTCTGTTTGTGAAAGGAAACTATATGAGACTAATTGCCGCTAGAAGCCAAAGGAGCTGTTCAGGATTCCATCCATGACATTTGATTGCACAGAACAGAACTGAATGGAGAAATAGACTGTAAGTCCTTTGGGGTTTATAGTTGGTTAGTCGACAGATTTTCCTCATTGCATATCAAACTATTCAGTCCATAAGTGCTCGGATCCCCTTTTTAGTAAATCCCGCAGTGTATAGCGGCCCACGACACCAGTTCTGTGTTGGTTTCTTATTCTTCTTTGGCTTCCTGCAAGGTTCTCTTGTCTGGCCACACCACTTTTAACATTTGTTCTTGCAGTCTGGTCATTGTTGCAGATTCACAGTCATCACTTGGTTCTCGCAAACGAGAATTTACGAGAAATTGTTTAATTCTTCTAGTCTGTCTGTCTGTCTGTCTGTCTGTCTGTCTGTCTGTCTGTCTGTCTGTCTGTCTGTCTGTCTGTCTGTCTGTCTGTCTGTCTGTCTGTCTGTCTGTCTGTCTGTCTGTCTGTTGCCCGTGTGGGTTCCGTGGCACCTTTGTGGAGGAAACAAGAATAGACCCACTGCCCTCCAAACAAGACTGGAGTCGACTAATTTAAGGTTTCCTTTAAAGTCGTAGTGCATCTGCCCCAGCGGCAAGGAACAACCAGCTGCACACAAAGAAGCCAGTAAAACGGATGTACACGCAAAGCTCAGGCCCTGACACTATGCCAGATTCCAAATGGACAAACAATCAGGACTTTGCCCCATTGCTTACAGCCGGTGAAAAAAAAATACGAAGAAGAAGATTTATCTCTGTGATTGACTTTCTCTTTCGAGTTGCTGACTCTCTCAGCAACCGGTTAGCAGTTCTGCGGATAGAAACCCAGCAATATGGAATAAAACCCGGTGCCATGAAGTCGATTCTCTCTAGTATAAACTGTAAACTTCACCCTTAAGCTAACCGTTAACATACCTTTATGCCGGATGACATGTCCCTCCCCAGGATGCTCTGCACTAGAGGGGACCGGAAGTAGGCCTGGCTGTACTTATCCATCAGGGCATTGTAGGTAGGAATTACTGGAGCTCTTCTTGTGGAGGAGACACTGGTTCTGATGGCGTCGTTGAGAAAACCTTAATGACAAAGATGTCATAGACATTTCTTCAACATGTTTGATGCTTCACAAATGGCTCAGGATGTACCGATTTATTTCTTTAAGAATCGATATCTTAAGACACCAAGCATATCCATATATGCTTCGTAGTAAACATATGCCTCTTTGTATGAAGTCGTCTGTCCGAACCCAAATTCAAGGTGCTTCCTTCGTGTCGAAGAACTACATGGCTGTAGCCTGCAGTCGTTAACGAAGGCATTCGAGACGTTGTAGCGGCGAAGCTTGGCTGATGGATGTAATGTCCAAGGCCCCTCCCCAGCACGAAGGAAAATCGCTGTGACCATTTATTTACCCTCGTATAAACTATATACAACTAGCGACTTCATTAGGCAAGTTGGTAAAGTAAAGGACTATTTTTAGGCCTGTGGTGCATCAAGCATACGATGCTAGTGATATGTTTATAGACCCATTGGCACTCAGTTGGCGATGTGGCCATCAACACTCTGCCCACCTTTACTTCCCAGGATATTACTAGTATCTTGTGCTCTGATTCTTCTTCATGTTCACCACAGTGAACTCCAGCGATACGTTTTTGGTTGGTCGTCCATTTCTGGACTTTAGTCTTGTTCCAGAACTTGAGTTTTGCTTGCACATCCGTTTAACAGATCTGGCTTATATTATGCAGACTGTTGGTTCATTGCACCTCTTATGCAGATGCACTCCAACATTGAAACAACCATAGTTAGTCGACTTTTACGACATGCTTATTCGGGTAGCAGTGGGTCTATTGCCCTCTATCCACACTTCCACTTCCCAGTTGGACCCCAGAGCTCACACGGGAAATTGCTAGCAACCATGATGGGCCGAATCGACCTGAGAGCCAGTCTCCATGCAGATTCGAACCCTAGTGCCTTGCCACCGCTCTGCCGTGGCTCTCAAACAGTTCATCTACATTCGTGTTCTTCTTATAGTCTATGCCCTATTGCGCTCGCAGTCACGTTTATCCACAACCTTCTGTCTCTTGTACTTCTAGTAGTCTATGCCGTGTTGTGTTGGTAGTCATGTTTATCCACAACCTTCTGTCTCTTAAACTTCTTACAGTCCACGCCGTGTTGCGTTGGTATTCATGTTTATCCACAACCTTCTGTCTCGTATGCTTTTAGTCAGTTCTGACACAGATGATCTTCAATGGCATGATGTCAAACTGTACATAATCTTCTCTCTCGGTCTCCTTTACCTCTTCTCCCTTCTAGCTTTCCTACTGTCACGATGTACTCCAATTTTCTCCTTTCATGACATGACCAAAGAATGTAGATTGCCTCTTTCCGCTGTGGACAATCAGTTCTCTTTCTGCGTCAGTTTTTTAAGACATCGTTATCACAGAAGGTGGCAAATTACATGATATAAAAAACGCTACGATGCACTCCAATTTTGTTTGTCTGGCTATATACACGAATAATGTACACTCTCTCCTTCTGATGTAGGCAATCTGTTCTCTTTGTGAGTCACTTTTAAATCTACGTCACATTTTTATGTGAGAATTGCCGTTGTTGTCATCACATTTATTTAGTGTGTTTCTTCTCAGACTCCCAGCTCCCAAAACCACATTTCTGCTGCTTCCAAATAATTAATTCAGCAAAATAAACTCAGGAATTGATCGTTCCACAATTCTCGATATCCTAGAGCCTGACCTTTGGCCGGTTAAGAAAAATACTGATCGCGTTATTGCTGGACAATTTACAAATCACTGGTGTTGTCTATTTTCTTATACGGATGTGAGAGTTGGACTCTCACTGTGGAAATAGAAAGGAGGATTCAGGCTTTCGAGTGTAAATGTTACAGATGCATTTTACGAGTTAGTTATTTAGAACACAAAACTAATAAATATGTCAGAGACAAAATATACAAATGTGCGGGACATCAGGAGCCTCTCTTGGCAGTGGTGAAAAGTCACAAGCTAGTTTGGTTTGGGTACATGGTGAGACATGATTCGATTGCAAAGACTGTACTTCAATGAACATTTGAGGTTAGTCAAAGAAGAGGAGGGCAAAAAAGAACCTATGATGACAACATCAAGAAATTGACAGGACTAAGTTATCAAACACTTATTCATCAAGCAAAAGACAGAGAAATATGGCGGGTTCCATCACTACACATCCACGACCATAATGGGTCAAGGGTTATGTTATGTTATGTTATGTTATTGCTGGACAGCGATACTTGAGTCGGAACCTTGAAAGGCAATGAAACCGCCACGTGTAACATTCCTGAAAGACAGTAGTGGATTTAAACAACCGCCACAGCCAACCGTCAAAATGTTGAATGTTGAATTAAGAATCGACATCACAGCACTCGGGACACTCCCATAAGTGCTCAGTCTCCATCTTCAGCAGCAAGCGAAGAGTTCTAATTCCGATGATAACAGTAACCATTTCATTGTATATCCGTCTCATCCTTCCCCTGGGTGTTGAGCGTCGGCCAGATCCCCTGGTAACTCCTCGCAGCGCCATTCTCCTTAGTCCGTAATGATCTATCTGCGCTTCGGCACTGTTTGCTGCACTTTTATATTTTACTAGCTGTACCCGGCCACGCGCTGCTGTGGCCCAGAATGCTGAAATGGAGAGGAAAGAAAATAGCCCTCAGAGTTAAGAAATAAGAACATTAAAATAATATTTTAAGCTCTCTCAGCTAACTGTGTCTGGCATAACCCCCCCCCCCCTTCCAACAATCATATCTCCCGCTCCGAAGGATTGAAAAATCATCACCTGGCGAAGTCATATCTCCCTCTCCGAAGGACTGAAAAATTATCCATGGCGAAATTAGTAAAATAAAAATAGTTAAGAAATGAGAACTTTAAAATAATATCTTAAGCTCTCTCAGCTAACTGTGTCTGGCATACACCCCCCCCCCCCCCCCCTTCTTCCTTTCCACCAATCATATCTCCCTCTCCGTAGGATTGAAAAATCATCACCTGTTGAAATTATTAAAATAAAAATAGTTAAAAAATGAGAACTTTAAAATAATATGTTAAGCTCTCTCAGCTAACTGTGTCTGGCATACACCCCCCCCCCCCCTGTCCACCAACCATATCTCCCTCTCCGTAGAATTGAAAAATCATCCATGGCGAAATTATTAAAATAGAAAGAGTTAAGAAAAGATAACACTGAAAAAATATTTTAAGCTCTCTCAGCTACCTGTGTCTGGTATAACCCCCCCACCACCCCCCCCCCCCCCCCCCCCCCCCACCCCCCCCCCCCCCCCCCCCCCAATCATATCTCCCTCTCCGAAAGAGTGAAAAATTATCACCTGGCGAAGTCATATCTCCCTCTCCGAAGGATTGAAAAATAATCCATGGCGACATTAATAAAATAGAAATAGTTAAGAAATGAGAACTTTAAAATAATTTCTTAAGCTCTTTCAGTGTCTGTCATACCCCCCCCCCCCCCCCCATCCCCCGCTTCCCTGGACGCAGTGATATCTCCCTTTTCGAAGGATTGAAAAATAATCCATGGCGAAATTAATAAAAAAGAAATAGTTAAGAAATGAGAACTTTAAAATAATTTCTTAAGCTCTCTCAGCTAACAGTGTCTGTCATACGCCCCCATCCCCCGCTTCCCTGGACGCAGTGATATCTCCCTTTTCGAAGGATTGAAAAATCATTCATGGCGAAATTATTAATATATAAATAGTTAGAACTTAAAAATAATATTTTTAGCTCTCTCAGCTAACTCTGTTTGGCATAACCCTACCCCCCTTCCACCAATCATATCTCCCTCCGTAGAATTGAAAAATCATCACCAGGCGATATTATTCTTCGTGTCTGTCGACCCCTGCCACTCCTCCCTGGTACCATGCCTTCTGCTATAATTTTTTCCAATCCGTCGTGGCGCTCGATATGACCAAAATATTTCAGCTTTCGAGAAAGGATGCTGTTTATTAGCCAATCTTTCTTGATGTTCAGATCTTTTAAGATGTCAATATTTCTCATCTTCTTTGTCCAAGATATTCTGAGAATCTTTCTACAACATTTAAGTTCAAAAGCCCCTATTCTCTTTCTCAAGGACTGAGAGATAGTCCACGACTCACATCCATATGTAGCCACAGGGAAGATGCATGCTCTCAAAATTCTAATTTTGATCTCCTTGCTGTTGCTTAACCATAGACTTTTAAAGGCTGTTCAATCTTTGCATTGCTATGGCCATCCTCTTTTTAATTTCTGTCGAACAGTCTCCATTGTTGTTTATTATAGAGCCTAGATATTCAAAGTTTGTGACATTTTCAATTTCTTCATCATTTATTGTTATTTTTGGGTGACAGCCAGTTTTATCTGTGGACATTATTTTCATTTTCTTTAAATTCACGAGCAGATTTTGATCTTCACTGTGCTTTTGGACAGACAATATTAAATTTTCTATTCCCTTTACGCTGTTCGAAAGGAGGACTGTGTCATCTGCGTAGCGGAGTTCCGGAATAGGGTTGCCACCAATTTTTAGCGGATCATAACTGTCACGTCTGGTCATTTTTAACATTTCTCATTGAGAATGCACCCCTGCCTCACCCTCTTTTGCAGCTCGAACCAATCAGTTTTTTCACCAGCTGCTCTTATGGCTGCTTGTTGTTCATGATAAAGATTTTCAATTAAATGCACTAAATGCGCTGGAAACCCCATACTTTCATAATAGTCCACAGTTTGCGGTGTTGGACACAATCAAATGCCTTGCTATAATCAATAAAACAAGCATGAAGATCTACATTGTATTCTCTGCATTTTTCAAAAATTATTCTCATATTAAATATGTGATCCCTAGTTCCTCTACCCTGTCTGAAATCCGCTTGTGCTTCATCTAGTTCATATTGTAATTTCCTTTCGATCCTTTTCATGATAATTCATAAGAGGATTTTGCAAGCATGACTTATTAATGGTACGGTAGTTGGAGCATAGTTTTAGATTTCCTTTTTTTGGGAGAGGGATATAGACTGTTCTTTTCCACGCTTTAGGCCAATTGCCACTGTTCCAGATCTTCGAGCATAGTGCATGGTAGATTCGGACGCTGGCCTCTCCTCCTGCTTGAATTAGTTCTGCTGGTATTTCATCGCAACCTGGTGACTTTCCTTTCTTCGGGCTGTGTATTGCTGATCGTACCTCATCCAGTAAAGGCTCTGGTTCTTTTTCATAACTTTCACAAGCCGTTTTTGAATTACCTGTCACATCCTCATACATTTCTCTACAGTATTCTTTCCATCTTTCTAATAAGTCTTTGGTTTCCGTTAATGTGTTACCGTTTTTTTTAAATCACTTATTACATGATAAGAAGGCCTGAATTCGTATTTCAAAGTTTTAATTTCTTTAAACATGTCTCTGGTTCTTCCTTGCATCTGGAGTTGTTCAATTCTATTACAGGTATTTATAATAAACTGTTTCTTATCTTCTCTGATAGCTCTAATGATTTCTTTCGTGAAGTTCCTATATGCATGGCAATTTTGTTCTGTCCCTACTTGCTTTAAATTTCTTCTTTCTTCTATCAGGTTGAAAGTTTTGTCTGTAATGTAAATCTGTTTCTTGTGTCGTTTTTTAGGAATCATGTTCTGAGCTGTTGTGATGATGATGTTTCTTGTTTTATCAGCCAACTCATCAGGTGTCATATCCTCCTGCACTGCCATTAGCGCCTCAAATTTGTTTTCAACCTCAGTGCTGTAATCATTTGGCAAATTACTCAAATCAAAACGTATTGGCTTAGCCCCTTTCAACACTTTTTTCAGTTTTATTTTAAATTCTGCAACAAGAAGTTAACTCACGAATAGGGGAGAAAAATACACCGCACCCGTCGTCTCTCCCTTTCCGAGGGAACGTTTTTTAACTGACCTTGGCATCCGTGTCCACCCAAACTAAACTGGACTGTAAGCCGTCTTAGGTAACAGTTTCTGTAATCGCCGAATAGTTTTTGATTGAGAAGCGTCGCGGGGAGGCTAATTGTGACTTAACTGAAAATCGGATGTGTAGAATCGAACACCGGTCACCCGCGTGAAGGATGGAATACTTAAAACTATACTACCGAAGACTGAAGAGTTTAGGTCAGATATCGCAGCCTAGCTGTAAACCACAACACAACGTGCCAACGGCCCTCTCGAGGGCGAACGAAGAATACCCATGACATGACCAATGAGCATCACGTCGCCTCTAGCGCAGGCTAGCTGTAAACCCCAAAACCGAAAAAGGCGTAGATATCGCAGCCTAGCCATAAACCACAACGTGCCAACCGCCCAGTTAGGGGCAACAATTTTTTTTTACCACCTAGCGGGGAATCGAACGCGGGTCACCCGCATGATAAGCAGAATAGTTACCAACTACGCTACCAAATACTCGAACAAATAGCGGAAATTAGATTATATAATAATGCAAAGTTCAATAAGACCTCGGCAACCAAAAAAAGTCAATCAATTAAAAAGAAATCCGGGCCGGCAATGAAACAAATAATGATTTAACCGTTGCTGGAGCTACGTCGTTCGTGGTTTGTGCGATTATCTGACACAAAATCACGCTTGGAGTCGAAGGCAACGTTGAATGCAAATTTGAAAGCAATCGGTTCAGTAGTTTCCGAGTTTAGGGATTACAACATCGGAAAATTAAGATTTTTATTAATATAGATCACTACTTTCTAGGCTGCATACAGTCGTGGGACCTAGGCTGCATACAGTCGTGTGACCTAGGCTGCATACAGTCGTGTGACCTAGGCTGCATACAGTCGTGTGACCTAGGCTGCATACAGTCGTGGGACCTAGGCTGCATACAGTCGTGGGACCTAGGCTGCATACAGTCGTGGGACCTAGGCTGCATACAGTCGTGGAACCTAGGCTGCACTCTCTCGTGGGACGTAGGTGTGTTGGGGCTAGGGCCAGTTCTAGATGTTTTGGAGGTCGTTGAAAGCTTCAGAAAGCAGGGAAACCCAGTCTTACCAACCTCTAAAAGTTGGACTGTCATGTGACGTCATCTGGGGTAGGTAATAAATAAAGCACTACAAAGTCATATCAGACAACATCAGGAAAGCTGACGTGAAGAAAACTTACGAGTTTGGGGGGGGGGGGGGGGGAGGGGGGGGGGGGGAGGGGGGGGAGGGGGAGGGGGGGGGGTTTGGAGGGACTTAGTTCCGCATGCTACACATTTTCTAAAGAGTTCTTGGAGGAACGTAGACCTTTTTAAAGTGCGTAATAGTAGTGGAAGTAGCAGTAGTAGCAGCGATATTTCTGTTGATGGTGATGGTAGTAGTAGTAATAGTAGTAGCAATGTAAATGTGGTGATAATAATAGTAAAAGTAGTAGTAGTGCTGGTGCAATGGTGATGATGGCAGTAGTAGTAGGAGTAGTGACAGTAGTGGTAGCTGCAACAGCAGAGATACAGCAGCAGCAGCATCATCAGTAGTAGTAGTAATAGTTGTTGTTGTAGTGGTGGTGGTGGTGCTAGTGATGTGACTTACTCGCTTCATAAGCAGGGAAACACTTGGATCTTGCGATAAAGCTGGCATTCAGTTGTACGTCTGACTTGATCCTATCTTTCTTCCACAGAGGACTGTTGTACGTGACCCACGAGCCTTGCCTGGGCGTGGCTGGCTGGTTTCCATGGAGAAGATTATAGAACACAGTTATTGATATCAGCATCGCACAACAACGTCATCAGATGATAGGAATGAGCTATCTCTCTCTCCCCTCAAGAGATACCGAAGTTGGAAATACTGGACCAGAAGACGGTTCAAACACCACACTACCAAGCAAGCGCCCAACCCCCAACCCCCCCCCCCCCCCTCGCTATACATGATATCGTCTACTCGCTATATACATCATAAAACAAGAAGAAGAAGAAAGAGGAGGAGAAGAAGAAAAGAAGAACAACAAGAAGGAGGAGGAGGAGGAGAAGAAGAAGAAGAAGAAGAAGAAGAAGAAGAAGAAGAAGAAGAAGAAGAAGAAGAAGAAGAAGAAGAAGAAAAAAAAAGAAGAAGAAGAAAAGAAGAAGAAGAAGAAGAAGAAGAAGAAGAAGAAGAAGAAGAAGAAGAAGAAGAAGAAGAAAGAAGAAGAAGAAGAAGAAGAAGAAGAAGAAGAAGAAGAAGAAGAAAAAAAAAAAAAACAAGAAAAAGAAGAAGAAGAAGAAGAAGAAGAATGAATAAGAAGAAGAAAAGAAGAAGAAGCAAGAAGAAGAAGAAGAAGAAGAAGAAGAAGAAGAAGAAGAAGAAGAGAAGAAGAGAAGAAGAAGAAGAAGAGAAGAAGAAGAAGAAGAAGAAGAGAGAAGAAGAAGAAGAAAAGACGAAGAAGAAGAAGAAAAGAAGAAAGAAGAGAAAAAGAAGAAGAAGAAGAAGAAAGAAAAGAAGAAGAAGAAAAAAGAAGAAGAAAAGCAAAGAAGAAAAGAAGAAGAAGAAGAAGAAGAAGAAAGAAGAAAGAAGAAGAAGAAAGAAGAAGAAGAAGAAGAAGAAAAAGAAGAAGAAGAAGAAGAAGAAGAAGAGAAGAGAAGAGAGAAGAAGAAGAAGAAGAAGAAGATGAAGAAAAGACGAAGAAGTTAAGTTGCTATTATTTTTGTAGATGTATAAGGGTTAAACATATTTTATTTTAAACGTGGTAAAAATACGACCAATAAACGAGACGATAACTAATACAGCACTCTAACCATGGTAGATTTGACTGGTTTCAATTATGAAAATAACAAGGATCCCTAACAGAGAGGGAGATACGGAGAGTGCCGTAGACCTTTTCCTAATCTCGCCCAGGTTTGGGGCTGCGTGGTCTGCGTGGCTGCAAGGTGTCTGCATTGAGTGCTTGAGGTTCTGCATTCAATCCCCGGTAAGGGTTGGGATTTTTTCACGTGGACTTGGACCTCTAGTAATTCACTCTGGTCCATGGGTAGTAAGATCGGACGCCTGTGTGTATTGTTGCGCACGTAAAAAATTCCTTGTCGTTTGGAAATCGAAAAGTGTAGCGTAACGGCGCTGCCCGGGCAACATTTAGAGGTAAATATCTGCCCAAAATATTTCAGGATCCTCGCCGGTACTACGGAGCCTGTACACTGCGCTGATCTACTTCAGACTCAGACTTGAGTTAGAAGTAGAACGGAGCACTTATGGGTTACTACCTGTGTGCAATGTTGTTTATCCGTTGTGCAAACCTCAAACTAATCACACACATTCTCTTTAAAAATATTAGTTTATGCTTGTTATATTAATTAATATTATTAATAATATATAATTATATTTACTATTCTTCTTATTATTATTAAACAGTTAAACAAGGTTTGTGCCACTTCAGGCCCCATGAAATTTTAAAGCACTTTCCCACAAATATGTGTGTGTGTGTGTGTGTGTGTGTGTGTGTGTCTTCGCATTTGAACGTGTCGCAAAATCGAAACTACAACAGCTACTTACAAATGATATCCCGAGCCTTGCAGCAAATGCTGTGCTGTTTTTCCCTGGTTTTGACTGCTCATCCTTTCTGTACTGCAAATTGGCAGAGTGTTTGAGATTTTCAGCAACCAAATCCTGCGATTTCCTGGCTTCTGTTTCAAGACTCATAACCATGCCCTCGATGTTATCACTTCCTTATCCTGTATCCCGGCTAAGAGAATCAACAAACCGTGTCTTTTGTAAAAGTTCTTATACTTCTACAGCAGCTGTTAAGTCCTCTGAAGATATCCTTATGTATTACTTCAAAGTGATAATTTAGTTTAATCGTAACAATATGCAGGTGAACTAAGGGAATCCCCTTTAGACTGAACAATGAAAGGCTACATGTGTATGCAAGGTTACATATAAACAGTTAATTCATCTGCTGGCTCAGAGGCGTGACACACATAAAACATTGCGAGGGAGGGTTACACATTTTCCAGAGAGGGGCTGAAGGGCTTAAGCATTGCCTCGGTGTTTAAACATGAGGACCACGTGGTCTTGAGGCACGGTGTCTGTCTCGAGTGCTAGAGGTTCCAGGTTCAATCCCCGGTAAGGGCTGGGATTTTTGCATGTGGACTTGGGACTTCTGGTAATTCCCCCTGGTCTCTGGGTAGTGAGATCGGACGCTCGTGTGCGTTGTTGCGCACGTATTAAATAAATTCGCAGTTGGAAATCGAAAAGAGTAGACTAACAGCGCTGCCCGGGCTAAATTTGAAGTTAAAAACTCTACCCAATGTAATTTCAGGATCCTCGCCGGTGCTACAGTCTCTGCACTGTGCTGAGCTTCTTCGGACTTAGACTTGAGTTAGAAGAAGAACGTAGCACTTATAGGTTATTGTCCGTGTGCCATGATGTTGAACTGTTGGTCAACTTCAAATTAAGTGCTTAAACAACAACAGTGCCGCAACAACAACAAAAAAGTTAACCATTGTTACCAAAGCTGTTCTCAACTTCAAATTAAGTGCTTAAACCTAATAACAAGAACAATAATGATTAGAATGGGCTGAGTGGTGAATACCTTTAATAATATATTCCAAACAAAATAAGAATTTAAAAAAATACATAATGGTATTGGGGGACGGTTTTTCATGTTAATGAAGTAGAACCCCTGCCCCACTACATATGCTGGTTCTGCTCTGAATCAATTTAGAGAGTTTAAATATCTAGGAAGTATGATCACAGAAGATGGTAAAATTGACCGAGAAATAGAAACCAGATGTCAGAAAGCAAGTGCACTTATATACCAACTGTCACCATTATTAAGACATCCAAGCATAACTATGAGTGCAAAGAGACAGATTATTAATAGCATTTTCATTCCAACATTAAGCTACCAGTGCCAAACATGGACACTATCTAAAGCCCATATACGCAAAATCACCACCTGCAAGATGAGGTGCTTGAGAAAAGCAGGCAACCTAACCATACGAGATGGAGTAAATAATGAAACTATCATTTAAATTGTGGGAACGACACCTTGTACTAGATTCATCGAGAAACAGCAGATCAAATGGTTTGGCCATCTCGTTAGAAAGCAGCCAGACCAAATCCCATCACAAGCACTACATCTCAGAAGATCAGCTACAAGAGCAAGAGGACGGCCGCGGAAGACACTCTACACCTTCACGGCATGACAATAGCCAGTGGCAGCCAGCGTGCACTGGATCGCAAATTATCCCCCCGCCTCCCCCACCATGCTTAACGGTAAAAGTGGTTTATGATGATGATGATGTTGCTAGTCATCCCATTGTGGGATGAAATTTGTCGTTAATTTGAAGCCCCACCCTGGCTCTTGCCAGGGGCCACCATATAGCCCGGCCATAAATATGGCCTAAAGGCTGAACTGGGTTTCGGGACCTCTCCACAGGTGATCCTCAACCGCATGGTGGCACATTGTGTCATCGGGTGTTTATTGCTTGTGTGATGTTCTGGTGGGGTAAAATTTACTACTACTACTAATCAAGCCTGGCTTGCCGCAACAACAACAAAAAAGTTAACCATTGTTACCAAAGCTGTTCTCAACAGGGTTGAGCGGTTTCATATTTGTGTTGCCTACCCTTTCCACCAAACACAGCCCTCACAACTAGGGGGTAAAGGGGAGCGGCCCCCGGGGGGGGGGGGGGTCTGCGATTTCAATCAGACTTAAATTCACAGGGGTGGGGATGTGGAGGCGGGGGGGGGGGGAGATAGAGAGACGTAGAAAGTCAGTCAGCTACTAAGAAACAATTTATAAATTAATAAGAGAGCGTCGCAAAAAGCACGAACTTCGTAGCTCCGGCGACGATCCCTATAAATCCTCGTAAAAATTGCACTCGTGAACTGAATGACGCAGCCGTCAACCGAACTCACGACCTTAAGAGCGCTAGGCAAACTGCTTGACAACTTCACCACATATATCCGCCTGTGGGGAAGAGATTGTCTTTGTGAGATCTGCCGAATTATACTAACACACATGTGGGTTTCTCCTGCAATTCTTTACGAACTAAATCAAAGCCAAATGTTAAATTGCATTGTCCTTAACAGCACAACGGCAAGCGTTGCTAAGCTTTGAAAGCTAATTCAGCCTGAATCTGTTGTAGGCAGCTTCATAATGGAAACTGATTTTAAAGCAAGTTAATTCTGAACTATTACTGTGTGACAGATTTTCGCTAAATCAAGACAGAGTCTACCCCCCTGTCATCTGAAATTAACTTTACCAGCAGTGATAAATGACAGTGGTTGGGTCTGATCAGTTCATTGGTATGAGGATTGAAATTAAACAGAGATAATATATACTACGAACACTTGTTTGAGAAGTCGAGGAATAGAAATTTCGGCCAGGCGACAGAATAATGTATATTAAATGGCGTTAGTTGGTTGTGTACTGTTTATTTGTTGGTAGGTTTGTGGCAGAAGCGTAGACCAAAACCAGTATCCTCAGCTGAAAATGGGACATTCCAAGCAAGTCAATTTATACACTTGTAGTGTGGGTTCCGGGGTTGTAGGGAAAACAAGAACAGACACACTGCCTACACAAAAGCATGTCGTAAGAGTCGACTAATTGGGAGCTTCCTTCGAAGTCGGATTGCATCCGCCTGAGAGGCAAGGAACCAGCAGTCTGCATACTGAGTCAGATCTATAAAACGGAGGCACATGCAACACTCATGTTCTGTAACAGGACTGCAGTCCAGAAGTTGATGAACAACCAGAACTTTGCGCAGAGTTTACAGCCGGTGAACGCGAAGAAGAAGG